CTCCGGAGGCAGCGTGGGGCTGGCTACTCAGCAGATGACTCAATGGGACTTGGCAGAGGGCAGCAAGTCAGATCCCAATGATTCCAGGGATGCATGGATCCAGCACAGCTCTGGGAAGACGACTCTTTTCCATCATGAAGTAGCTCCTGATAAAGCTAGAAAGCAACAGAGCATGGCTCAAATGAGACTGCATTAAAGCCCTTCTCCCTTGTCAAGACCTCTCCCAACTGTCCTCATCAGCCTGGAATTTGGGTGCCTTCCAGAAGTGTATTAATCAACACGGCGCTCATTTGTCACGCAGAGGCCATTCACCCTCCCGCAGGGTCCAATTTGGCTCCGAGAATCCCCTTTATCTGCTGAGGGAGGGAGGAAGACGGCAATATAAATTGAACCTTCAAACCCTGCCTGTGTGAACGAATCCCAGCTTTTCCATTTGCAGCAGCTCAGGAGAATTCCTTCCCCAAGGCCACGATGAGCGTGTCCAAGGACTCCAGGTCACACTTCCAAGCCGACCAACTAAGAAACGCAGCCTAAAGGAAGAGGTATATTAAGAGCATCTTTACTGGATTAAAGATGGGGGTTGGAGCGGGATGGTCTTAAGGTCCTTTCCAGCCCTAACTACTCAATGATTCTGTGAAGAGAATTCAGAGCAGCCCTGTGGAGAAGGACTTGGGGGTGTTGGTTGATGAGAAAATGAACATGAGCCGGCTGCAGTGTGCGCTCACAGACCAGAAACCAACCGTATCCTGGGCTGCATCAAAAGGAGCGTGACCAGCAGGGCGAAGGAGGTGATCCTGCCCCTCTGCTCTGCTCTTGTGAGACCTCACCTGGAGCATTGTGTGCAGTTCTGGGGTCCTCAACATAAAAAGGACATGGAACTGTTGGAACAAGTCCAGAGGAGGCCACGAGGATGATCAGGGACTGGAGCACCTCCTGTATGAAGACAGGCTGAGGAAGTTGGGGCTGTTCAGCCTGGAGAAGAGAAGCTGTGTGGAGACCTCAGAGCAGCTTCCAGTATCTGAAGGGGGCCTATAGGGATGGTGGGGAGGGACTCTTCATTAGGGACTGTAGTGACAGGACAAGGGGTAACGGGTTCAAACTGAAACAGGGGAAGTTTAGATTGGATCTAAGGAGGAAATTCTTTCCTGTGAGGGTGGTGAGGCACTGGAATGGGTTGCCCAGGGAGGTTGTGAATGCTCCATCCCTGGCAGTGTTCAAGACCAGGTTGGACAGAGCCTTGGGTGCCATGGTTTAGTGTGAGGTGTCCCTGCCCATGGCAGGGGGGTTGGAACTGGGTGACCTTAAGGTCCTTTCCAACCCTAACTATTCTATGATTCTAAGTTTAATCTGGATTATAGGGAAGTAATTCCTATACTAGGTTCATTGCTTCAGGAAAAGTGAGCTATAAACCAGGATGGATAAGTGGAAGAGATCAGCTCACCTGGCTTTTGCATAGAACAGGGCAACGACTAAAGGACTCCGTTCAGTTGTGTTCTCCTACAGGCACAACCACTAACAAATTTACCCCTGACAGACAGCAGAATTCCTTCTGGGAAGCAGTCTTCCAGGAATCAGCCCCTCTGGAGCAGGCCATACTTAGACAGATGTTCAGTAACATGACTACATTCTGCGGCCAACTTCCAAGGAGCTCACAGGATCAGGGAATGCTTTGGGTTGGAAGGGACCTTAAAGCTCACCCAGCTCCAACCCCTGCCACGGGCAGGGACCCCTTCCACTAGAGCAGCTTGCTCCAAGCCCCTGTGTCCAGCCTGGCCTTGAACACTGCCAGGGATGGGGCAGCCACAGCTTCTCTGGGCACCCTGAGTGCTTGGGATTGCCCCAGTCCATGTGCAGGACCTTGCACTTGGCCTTGTACTTCATGAGGTTCACACCAGCCTCTCAACATCCCTCTGGATGGCATCATCCTTGCAATTCCCTTCCAGGGCAATGCTTCCAGCAACCAGAGATGAAAGAACATGTCCCAAACAACACCCATTTGAGCCCCATCACTGCCTGGTGTGGCAGATCTCTCGCTTGAGGATGGTTCCCCATAGAGAGGGCTCCAGAAACAGCCACCAAGAACCACAGCACTTGTTGTGCCATTATAAAAGGTCCCTCAGGATGGGATTTACAGCAGCAAATGCAGAACTAGTGAAAAGGGTCATGAAAGAGGAAATGAAAGGTGCTTCTGAAGGGTAAATTAGCCTCTTCGTTTAAAATGAGGAACTTGTCAAAGCATAAGGTGGCTTTTTACACCCCTTTTCTCACTGTTTCCTCACCTTCTCCACCTCTACCCACCTATCCACACTTCTCACCTCAAGGTCAGTTTGCAGACAGCGTACCCAGAGGCCATCCAAAGCCAAAGAGCTGTTACTGCATTTACCTGATGATGACCAAGGTACAAATGAACAGTGACTATTTCTGCTTAACCAAGACCAAAAGGGTTAAAGGGAACAGCTCTGCCCTCTTTCAGCTTCCAACGAGGGCAGATTTACCCTAAAAGTCTCTGTGCAGCAGTGGATGAAGAAGAGATGACTCCAGGCTGGAACCCACACAAGAAAAGCACAATTGCCTGAGTTTTTGGAAAGAGCTTTTGAGAGCTGGAACCACTGACTTCAAATGTCAACAGTCTCCTTCCATAGAACTATAAACAGTGGAAGCTTTGCAGCCAGCAGGAGCTTTATCTGACCTGACGACAATGAGGAATGGGGGTGAGTCAGCTCCACTAGCATCCCTCGTGAAGAGATCCAGAGGAGGATGGAGGAGAACCCAGGGCTGACATCTGCATCCTTTAAACCTGGCCTGATGCTCACTTGATTTCCTCTGGAATTGCTCATTCTTGGGGGGGGGGGAGAAAAGTCAAACAATCTCATGTTGCTCCTCTGGAAAACTCTCTTCTTCCCTGTGTGCAAAGAGAAAGTTTGCTTTACATGTCAGAAAGCAGAGGGTAAACTCTTTGTGAGGCCCCAGACCGGTGTAAAACACCCGAGCCCAATCTCTACATCTACTAAAGCATGCCTGAGCAGAAAAACCTTAACAGAAGCAAACACTTCCACTCTCAGGAAGGGAGAAGGCTCCACTATTATCACCAAGGGAGGAATGACTTGCTGCTAAAGCTCTCGAGCTGCCCCTCTTAACTCACAGGATGGCTGTTGGGTAACTTTGGTACTCGGTGAACACTGTTAAGCAAGGTAAAACATTAAATAACCCCGCAGCAGCTCTTTGCTTTAGAAGGGTTTACAGTGAAGAGCTCCCTCCTCAGCTGAGGAGGGTGCTCAAGGAGGGTAAAGGGACTGCCTCTGCCTTTCTTCCATCTGCAACGCGCTTGATTAGTGGCCTCTCTGCTGTTGTTAGGGAGCAACAGGCACAGGACAGACATTTCAATACAAACAACCATCAGACCCGTGTTATCTGCCTGTGAGAAGACTTCCAGGCATCCCCTGAGGCATCGGCGGGGCCCTTAAGCTCTGTTTTTTCATCAGCTGAAAGCTTACGAGCATATTTAAGCAGCTGACTGGCTTTAAACAGGCACTCAGTGAGGCAAGATCTTGTCAGGACTCCAACACAACTGGATTTCTTGAAGCAAGGAATGAGTCTGTTCATGTGGATATCAGAGAATCTGCAGGAGAAATCTCAGCACCACCATGTTTTAGCACCTTCTGCTTCAGCAGGGCTGCTTTTCCAGCCCCAGAAGAGCTTCTGAAAGGCAAGCATTGACTTGCATCCAAAGGACAAGACAGTGGAAGGAGCAGAGCTTGAGAAGAGGTTTGAGAAGAGATAAGTCATCCCCCCATCACAGCCATGTGATGCTGTATTAGTTTTAAGCTCCACTTTCAACTTCAGATTTCTAAGACCAGAGCAGCTATGGCCTTCTGATAGTTAAGATCATGGGTTTGTGGTAGCTGGGGGTTTTGCACTCCCATATGAAACATGAATCTTACACTTGACCCTGGGCTGGAATGTAAGAGTGGCTTTAATACCATGTGGCACCATCAGCACAGGCCATAGTTCAAACACTACTCTGCCAAATCATTGTCTAGGATAATCCAGTGTGGTTCTATTAATCTTTAAGGGAATCACATTATTTCCCATCATTTAAAGACTTGATGCCTTACATCCCAATGTGAATGAAAGGGGTGATTGGCAGGGCTGGATCATACGCACCGCTGTTTGCCAAGGGGTGAAACAAGAAGCTCTGTGTCATCCTTAGTGAACATAAGAAGCCAAACTCACCGAGCTGTGCCTCCCCCTGTGCAGAACTGGGTGCACCACTGGTTACAGCTGCTCCCTGAAGCGAACTGCAGTGCACATCTGAAGCACAGAAAATAGGAAACCGCTGCTCGCACCCGCTTGGTTTTCCTCAGATGTCTTTTCCTGTTTATACATCAGATGTATCCACTGTGATAAGCAACTGAAAGTGAGACTTCAGGCTGCTGGAACCAAGAAGCACAATCTTTATGCATCATCTCTTGCCCCTGAGATGCCAGTTAAGGGTACAAGAATACTGTCAGAATGCAAACATGGAATGAAGCAAAGAGGACTCTCCCAGGCGAGGTTTAAAGCTCCCCATCATCATAAAACATCTTCTCTGATCAGACCCTCCTGGCTCATACAGAAAGACAGAAAACCAAGTGAAAGGGCAGTGAAGTCATGAACCTTCCACCCTTTCAGTTTCACGTCCCCTTTAAACAACCATTACAGTTACCTTAAAGCTTTTCTTAACAGTAAGAGGTGGTTCCAGCCCAGATGTTGCCCATATGACTGCAAAGATACATTCATGATCGCTGCAATGAGTGCTACAAATAGATCTGTTGTTTATTTAAGGGGCTTTTCAGTACAAAACATGACAAGTGTGTTTTCTACATTGAGAGAGGAAATAAAAACCCTACAAAACTGTGAAACCCTATTTGAAATAAATATGTATAAAACTGCTTTACAATCAGTTCTAAACACATTGTGAGCCGAGGAGTTTCAAACTGGGTTCACTTCTGAAGTGCACATCACTATAAAAACAGTCCTTTATTTTAAAACCTGCCATTCACATCAAATCACTGATTCTTAAATACAGAGAGATGATATTAGTACAAAACCAGCACAACTGAACACCACACAGCATCCTCTGCACACGTATTTACTGCTTTATCTCTGGCACATCGCAATCTCCCGCCTGCTGCAAGGTTACCAAGCAGCAGACAGCTTCATTTGAAGAGATCTCTATCAGTTCCAAGGCACCTTCCTCCCCAAGACACGGTTGGTGATCTTCTGCAAGATAAAACCAAAGTGAGAGATGAGTATTAATCCTCTAAGTATTAAAACCACGACAGATGATGTTGTCTGAAAAATATATCAGTGCCAGATGGCGTGAAACAAGTCTTAAAAGTAAGAACACACCCTGACATTTTCTGACAGACTCTTCCCCTAAGTAACCCTAATGCATGTCTTGCCTTTCACTGCTTCAGCTGCTCTCAGGTCTCCCCTTCAGGAGCCTTCTCTTGTCCAGGCTGCCCCAGCCCAGCTCTCTCAGCCTGGCTCCAGAGCAGAGCTGCTCCAGCCCTCGCAGCATCTCCATGGCCTCCTCTGGCCTCGCTCCAACAGCTCCACGTCCCTCTTGTGCTGCTGCCCCAGAGCTGGATCAGGGCTGCAGGGGGGGTCTCCCCAGAGCACAGCAGAGGGGCAGGATCCCCTCCCTGAGCTGCTGCTCCCGCTCTGGGGGTGCACCCAGCACAACGGGGGGGGGGGTTCTGGGCTCAAGCGCTCACTGAAGCCGGGTCATGGGGAGCTTCTCCTCACCCAGCACCCCCAAGTGCTGCTGCTCAGGGCTGCTCCATTCCCCAGTCTGTGTTTGTGCCCCCACCCAGGGGCAGGACCTTGCACTTGGCCTGGCTGAAGTCCCTGAGGCAATGACACCAACATCATTCTGTTAGCTCAGCCCACAGCTCAGTGATGTTTTGAAACACGGAACACATATGAAGTGGTTCTAGGGAAGTGAAAGATAAAGTAAGAGCTTTGGGTAACTCATGTATTACTCACAGCTTCGGGAATCACAGCCACTGTCTGACGGGAACTTTTGCATCCCAGAGATGAATGCAACAGGCAGCTGAGCTCTTCTATACACACACCCACGTGCAGAGTATGCAGTGTGTATATAGTACATACACGTAGTATATAGACACACAAACTGCAGTGTGGGATCTGTCCCCACTACTTCACAGAGGCTCAAAAGGGCTCAAACCCCCTCATGCCACAGAACCTCCCATCAGTCCTTCTAGCTCATAAGCCCCTTTGCAATCTAATAAGCAAACCTGCTAGAATCAGATTCTCTCTCACCCCTTTCCCCTCCAGGAAGCCACTACAGATCAATAAACCCCAACGTGTTGCGGACAGGAGGGAACGTGTAGCCAAGGGGATGAAAAACAAACACTGACATGATGAACCACTGCAAAGCAGGAAGCAGAGCTCAATTCAGCTCCACACCTAAAGCCTGGGCTTTTCCCTTTGGGGTAGTGACACCTTGTGGCTCCAGTCTAGAATAGGCTCTAAAGGATAGCCATGATAGTGGTTAACGTTGCTGAATGCTAATATCTTGCGTTTTTAAGGGGTAAAGGCAAGCACAGAACTTTGCTACCACCTTTATGGTGTTTTCTCCCATGCTCCCTATTTACAAAACTGACAAACTCACTGAATCTAATGGAAAAGCCTCAGGAATGGCACAAGTGCTCAGATCCTCCTTTACTAAGGCAGAGAAACATCCCCGCCTCCCCAGCTGTTTCATCAGTGCTTCTCTGCCAGGTATGAATGTTTTCACAGCAGAAAGTCAGCCAAGCAAATGCATGTGCAGCCTCAGGCACTCCAGCACAGGATGTCTGAGCACACACTTTCACAGCAGTTCAACCTGCTAAGCTGCACTCTGGAGTGCCTGGGACACAAGTACATCCTTTCCCCATCATGGAGATGGGAAAATGCTCATAGATTTATGGAACGGTTTGGGTTAGAAGGGACCTTAAAGACAATGCAGTTCCAACCCCCTGCCATAGAGAAGTGATGCGCGGATTGACTCCACAACTCGTTACAGTTGTAAAGCAGGTATGCTTTTATTCAGCACTGAGGCGCATGGGGGATAGCTCCTCCAAAAGCACGCACCCCAGCGTTGTTTCCCCTCTACATTTATCCTCTAAAGTTATACATATGCATGAGGCTGCACAACACGCCTATACGTATTCATGTCCTAGCCCCGCTTCGTATTATAATGAGTTAAGATGCCCTTTGCGCCTGCGCAGTGCCTCCTGGTGGTTGTGGGTGAGGGTCTCAAGATGAAGTAAACGACTCTTCCTTGAGCCTGAACTTTTCAGCCCTAGTCATCACACATGCTCCCTGGAGGCTTGGTCATTGTCCAAAGCACAGAGCCAGTTTCAGCCTGCCTGGGCATCCAAAGGACAGGAACTAAGTCATGGTCCCTACCTCTTAACAACAGCTATGTCTTTACATCTTGTTCTAGCATATACGGTGAGTACAATAAGCATGAACAAATAGTAACATTGTTAAGCAAGCAGCTTGATCTACCCCTTCGTACACTGCAAGTACGATAAGCATCAGCAAGCAGTAACACTTAAGCAGCTTGACCTAACCCCCCCGCCCCGTACATGGGTTAACCCTTCACATCAGGAGTTTCAGTAGGACAGTTCATGCCACAGAGCACTGTGAAAGACAGGAGTAGTGACAGCCAGAGAACATGAGTAATGAGACTCAGAATACACCAAATGATCTTGGAAGACGTTGTCCCCTGCTAGGTTTGGATAAGGCACAGCAGGACTCCTCTAGGTGACTGCAATTAAAACAGCAGCCACATCTAGCCCAGAGGATGGGCCTGCTGTTCTACATCAGCAGTTCACCAACTTGCCACTGAGAGATACTCAGCCCACAGTTTGGGTACAGCGCTGCACATCATTACAATGACACCACCCTGGAATACATGCTTTTATCCAGCTTTTGTACCAGCTGTTTTCTTCTCCTAAGAGTCTGTGTCATCTTTGGAATCATTCCACAAAATCTGTGGTCTTTTCTTTCCTGTACAATCAGATCCGCTTCGAAACTGATGCTCTCAGCAACACATTAACCAAATTCTAAGCAGCTCATTCACTGCATTTACAGCTACTCACTACAACTATTCTGCATCAGACAAAGGGATTACAATATTTACTGCACTGAATCAACAGCCCTCTTCCAATCAAAACCATACTTACACACAAAACTCCTGATTCCAGCTGACTATGCTACTTCAAGTCAATGCCTGCCAGCATTTATTAACCCTTAAGACTTTACAGCATCTGAGATTCTCAGACTAGTGAAAAAAACACCTCCTGAATACGCCCTGGAGAAGCATAGCATCAAAATCAAGTCATTCTAGTGGTAAATGCCCATAATCAGATTAGGTATTCTGGATAATGCATTGTGTTACAATCCCTGGCTTTACAAATCCAATTTGTTCCCGACAAATAACTAACCCCATTATCCCAGCTCTGGCAGGACATCTCAGCCAGGAAAGCATTGCAGTGCTAAAAATGAAGTGCAGCTTAAGATCCAGAGGAAAAAGAAATCAGGTTTGGTTTTTAATGTCTGTCCTTTAACCACTGAGGTTTATAATGCAGTTTATTGCGTGCTGCAAGGCCACATTTTATGGTGCATGGGTTAGTTAAAAAGCCAGAAGACAAGTCAGGTTAGAACCTCAGTGTGTGCATTGCAAACTCTTGTTTCTCATCTTTAGGTCATTAATAAGTCATAAGAGAAAGCTTAAGCATATGGATGCCTGGAACAGCTCAAAAAGTGACACACTGGTGAGTTTTGGAAATGCACTTCTCAGAAGGAACAAATGGGCCTCCTCTGCTTTATCAGGGCACTTATCACATCACTGTGCATAAAGGGATACTGCTTGATACACAGAAGTAGTAGATACAGAGATGTGGGAGGACCCAGGGACAGAAGATTCTTCCTTGATATTGGTTGTGCTTAACCCCCATGAGTCTCTAGCACAGGGTTCTTCAACCATTCTGCCATTAATCAGACACACAAACACAAAGCACGTGTTCCACAGCCCGGACAACCAGGGAGGAAGAGCATCAGCAGCAGTGTAGCTGGGACAGAAGCAGGGCTCTCGCTGCTTCACACGCAGTACGAGGCAGGATTCAGCAGAGTCCAGGAGTAACCCAGCAAAATGGGCCCTGCTCTTTGCTTCTCCTGCTCCTCAAAACCCTGGAGTGCTCACCCCGCACCTTTGCTGTGCTGCTGGTTGGGGGTGAGGCCCCAGTATAGAGATTACTCTGGAACTGCTTGGATAAGTGTTTGTGGTTCAAGGTTAGCCACACCATGCTGAGCTAAACTGGTTTATTCTACACGCGCCAGGGAAAGGAGGTCCTTGGCTGATAGGTGCCAGCGTGGTAAGATCACACCAACGAGCTGCACGCACACTTATGATGACATCCACAGGCCCCAGATTTAACAAATTCCCACCAGGACTGCCAGCTCTCCCCTGGATCAGAATAAGGAATGACAGCTCAGGCTTTGCTAGCCATGGCTGTGAAGTTAGCTGTTCAACATCTTTGTCGCTGATGTGGACAGTGGGATTGAGTGCATCCTCAGCAAGTTTGCCCATGACACCAGGCTGTGTGGTTCGGTTGATACGCTGGAGGGAAGGAATGCCATCCAGAGGGACCTTGACACACTTGTGAGGTGGGCTGATGCCAACCTCATGGAGTTTAACCATGCCAAGTGCAAGGTCCTACACCTGGGTCGGAGCAGTCCCAGGCACAGCTACAGGTTGGGCAGAGAAGAGATTCAGAGCAGCCCAAGGAGAAGGACTTGGGGGTGTTGGTTGATGAGAAAATGAATATGAGCCGGCTTCAGTGTGCGCTCACAGACCAGAAACCAACCGTGTCCTGGGCTGCATCCAAAGGAGCGTGACCAGCAGGTCCAAGGAGGTGATCCTGCCCCTCTGCTCTGCTCTTGTGAGACCTCACCTGGAGCATTGTGTGCAGTTCTGGGGTCCTCAACATAAAAAGGACATGGAACTGTTGGAACAAGTCCAGAGGAGGCCACGAGGATGATCAGGGGCTGGAGCACCTCCTGTATGAAGACAGGCTGAGAAAGTTGGGGCTGTTCAGCCTGCAGAAGAGAAGGCTGCGTGGAGACCTCAGAGCAGCTTCCAGTATCTGAAGAGGGCCTATAGGGATGGTGGGGAGGGACTCTTCATTAGGGACTGTAGTGACAGGACAAGGGGTAACGGGTTCAAACTGAAACAGGGGAAGTTTAAATTGGATCTAAGGAGGAAATTCTTTCCTGTGAGGGTGGTGAGGCACTGGAATGGGTTGCCCAGGGAGGTTGTGAATGCTCCATCCCTGGCAGTGTTCAAGGCCAGGTTGGACAGAGCCTTGGGTGCCATGGTTTAGTGTGAGGTGTCCCTGCACATGGCAGGGGGGTTGGAACTGGATGATCTTAAGGTCCCTTCCAATCCTAACTATTCTATTCTTGCTATAGGTGGATTTAGCTTACACTTAAGGGCAAAACCAGCAACCTTCAGTTCAAGGAAGCATGATCCTTCTTTAAACACGCTTCATGATCCCTCTGTGCTGCCCTCAAGACTCTCCACCCGACCTTCTTTGTACCCTTTAATCAGGACCAGGCTTCCTTGCCTTTTCTCCATACACCCTGCGTATGGAAAGGATTCCAGGGGGATTTTATGTTCCAAGGTGTGTTAAGCTTGACTGCTTTGACCCTGATTCAATGCCAATACATCCTAACCACCTAGAAGCTGCAAAACAGTACCACAGAATTGAGATGTAGCAAAGGGTTCTGTAATGTTTGTGAACTGAAAGAAAGGTCCAGAATGCTCCAGTGTAAACACCTGAGCAGAACACCTACTGTCTTGTAAAGCTGGGCCTTCAGGCGGTAGGAGTTGTATTCCATTTTCCTCTTCTCTTCCTCTCGCTTCTTCTGCACCTCCGGCAGCTGCTCATAGATCCTGCAGTGTGAAAAGGACAAAAATACTGACTTTAAAGGAACTTTCTGATATATATATGTATATGTATGTATAAATTAAACCAGCCTCTGGTTTATCATCGTATTCTTTTATAGGTTCTGGATCACCCACATCATAGAAATATTTATTTGGGGGTTTACTAGTGTCACACAGGGAAGATCATGCAATGGTTTGGGTTGGAAGAGACCTAAAAGCTCATCCAGTTCCAACCCCTGCCATGGGCAGGGACACCTTCCACTAGAGCAGCTCGCTCCACTGTGGAATATGTAGCAGTTGTGATACTGGAAATTCCACCATCCCATAATGCCTTTCTATCACCAGCAGCACCTGCTAAAAGCAGCATATAACACATGACAATGACCATACTGCTTGTATGATTACCCAGGTATAGCTTCAGTATCTGCAATGCAGAACAGCTCTTGCTCTACTCCTGGTTATACTGATCCTGAGCAACATGTTCATCCATCAATAGCAACATCATTATCAAAATGAATAACCCGATTTGAGCTCTATTTTCAGCATTCAGCAGTGTTGCCCTGTTTAGGTGAAGGCTTTGTCTTTTCCAGCACTGAACTCCTCCCATTCCAGAGCCAAACAGCAAGGAATGCTTGGAACTGAGTGTCCCATCCCTGGCAGTGTTCAAGGCCAGGTTGGACACAGGGGCTTGGAGCAAGCTGCTCCAGTGGAAGGGGTCCCTGCCTGTGGCAAGGGATTGGAATTGGATGGGCTTTAAGGCCCCTTCTAACCCAAACCATCCTATGATTCTATGAATAAAAGCTGTGTCATTCCAGTCTGGTTCAGGGGTTACCACATGAAGGAAGATTTGGGGAAGGCAGTGGGAGCAATACAGTGCCATCCTCGCCCTCAGGTCCCTCCTTCAAGATCATAAAGCTTCCCTAATTTCATGGTAGTGGTTGCCAAGAAACATGCAGCTTTAAAAACACTGTGGTTTGCAGGAGGTGGAAATGAATGATGTCCAAAAATGTCAGTCCTGTAATATTTAAAGCAAGGCACATCTTATAATAACTCATTTCTTAAGATGCTGCTTTGATAATCAGCAAACAGAACAAAAACCTCCAGCTTGTTCTGGATACAGTATTTGTGGTGTTGCTTTAATATCATCTCACCGTTCTCTAAAGGCTTTCATCGTTGCAGGTGAAAAGGATCAAGATGAACCCCTCTCAACCCATCCCACCAAAAGGATGTTTAGGGCAAGAAGTGGGCAATGCAGTAAATTAAGTGAAACTTGTTTTCACTGCCTGTAGTAATTTGCCATGAGAAATTCCAGTTATACCCTCACAGAGAACAAGGCAAAGCTTCTGCTCTCATTAGAGGCGTGGATTTCAGAAGAATGGTACAGAATAAATTACTTCTGAGCTCCAACTGAGAGCTGGAGCATGACAGCAGCAAGAACAGAGAGTCACCAAGTGAGACTGCCTGAACCAGTCTCCATAGAAATCCTGCTCATTTGGGGTATTATGAAATCAGGGTTTCCTAAAATACACAAGTTCAGCTCCATCCACCTCACAGTCCAAGTGACCTGCACCTGAATCCTGCTACTTCAGCTAAAACATGTGGAGGTTCCTTGGGGAACTGATGTATTTACCATAGTCACCACTTCTGCCACCTCTCTATTGACATCCTATAAGTATGTTTAAATGCCAAAGGCTATTGAAACAAAACATCCTGGACTCTCCCATCATAAGGGTTATATGTGAATTCCAATAGATAGTTTGTAAATCAGGGTGCAACTGAAGTTAAGGGACCTCTGGAGGTCACACAGTCCAACCTCCTGCTTGAAGCAGGGCTAACTTCCCTTCTAGATAAGGTTCCTCTGGCCTCATCCCATCAACTTGTCACTGTTTCCAAGGATGAAGGCTCCGCCGGCTCTGTGGGATCGTGGTCCAGCACATCACCACCCTCCCCAGGAAGAACTGATTTCCCTGTCTCCAGTTAGAACTTCCATTTACTGTAACACATCACGAGTACTACTTGTCCTATCACCATGTACCTCCAAGAAGAGTCCTCCTCTGCCTTGCTCAATACCTCTTCTGGGAGGGAATCACTGCTGCCAGATCCTCACCTTGACCCTCCTCCTCCCCAGCCAAACTCTGCAGCTTCTCCTCACACACCTCTGATAAGATGCCTACATCTTCCACGGAAAAAGCTGAGTTATCCCCCAGACCCAGTTCCTGGACTTCAGATACAATTCATCCATCTCGATACCCAGATCACTTATGGAATCATAGAAACACAGACTGGTTTGGGTTGGAAAGGACCTTAAGATTATCCAGTTTCAACTCCTTGCCACGGGCAGGGACCCCTTCCACTGGAGCAGCTTGCTCCAAGCCCCTGTGTCCAACCTGGCCTTGAACACTGCCAGGGATGGGGCAGCCACAGCTTCTCTGGGCACCCTGTGCCAGCACCTCAGCACCCTCACAGTAGGAATATCTTCCTTATATCCAAACTAAATTTCCCCTGTTTCAGTTGGAACCCATTGCCCCTTGTCCTATCACTAGTCCCCGATGACTGACCAAACCAAACCAAAACCGATGAAGAGACCACCCAAACCAACACGTTCTTAACCTCACCGTTTAGATCTCTGAACCATTTCACTCCTTGGAATTGTTCTTCTCTTTTCTCTAATGACAATACCTAAATGGAAAGTTTTGAGAGAGGAAAACGGTGAACAAATCTCACAAAGAACACTCCTGCAGGAATATGACTCCTGTAGAAGTTATGGATTCTTATAGTTAAGGAATTGTAATACTTCCATTTAAAATACACACACTTAAGTTTAATGTGGAAAGTCATTAGTTCCTGTAGAAGGTACAAAGCAGAAGCATGGAGGTACCTCTGTCAGACAGCATGTCACTTGCATTCCTGTAGCCCCTTCTTTTCTCTGGAGGGTTAAACAGCTCCTCTCGTTGGGACTGCAGCACGCTCTGTATCTTCCTCTCCTCCATGACAAGCTTCAGATGCTTCACACGCTCTCCAGAGCGGGAGATGAAGTCGGGGCGATGCACTGCAAGAGCCTCCTACGATGGCATGACACAAAACAAAGCCTCAAGTGGGCAGATGTCTCCCCAAAGCTGGACAATGTCTAATACCATCACCAATGGCATGGAAAAAAGCCTATCAAAGTACTATCTGGTATAAAACACGATAAACTTGTAGCCCTAATGCTGGGTAGCTCCTCAGAGACCTCCTTTAACAAACTCATTTTCTGGCCATTGACAAAAAGCTGACCAGAAAGAAGAGAAAATGCTAAAATAATTAGTCAAAGGGACTCAAACATCCTCTCAAAACACCTCAAAGCTAATCACATAGGATAGGAGATCCAGTGACTTATTACAGTCTCGCTTGTCTAAATCAGTGGCACATCAACATTAGCAATTTGGTTTGGATCAGAAGTGGACTTTTGAAAGCCATCTCCCCATATCTCTGTTTGCCACACTTCAATTTCCCTCACAGGGCAGTCCCTAAGCACATGAACAGACCATAGAATGGATTGGGTTGGAAGAGACCTTAAAGCTCCTCCAGCTCCAACCCCTGCCACGGGGAGGGACCCCTTCCATTAGAGCAGCTTGCTCCAAGCCCCTGTGTCCAACCTGGCCTTGAACACTGCCAGGGATGGGGCAGCCACAGCTTCTCTGGGCACCCTGTGCCAGCGCCTCAGCACCCTCCCAGGGAAGAGCTTCTGCCTAAGAATCATAGAATAGTTAGGGTTGGAAAGGACCTTAAGATCACCCAGTTCCAACCCCCCCTGCCATGGGCAGGGACACCTCACACTAAACCACAGCACCAAAGGCTCTGTCCAACCTGGCCTTGAAAGAATGTGCTCCAAGATGTTGCCAGGCACAGAGGTGAGACTGACTGCTCTGTAATTCCCCAGGTCATCCATTTCCCCCTTCTTGAAAATGGGGGTTATATTTCCCTTTTTCCAGTCATTGGGAACTTCACCTGACTGCCATGATCTTTCAAATATGATGGCCAGCGGCTCAGCAACTTCATTCGCCAGCTCCTTCAGGACCCGCACATGGATTTCATCAGGACCCATGGACTTTTGCACATTCAGGTTCTTAAGATGGTCTCGAACCAGATCCTCTCCTACAGTGGGCCCAAGGTCTTCATTCTCACAGTGCCTGCGTCTGCCTCCCAAGACTTGGGTGGCGTGATCAGCGCATTTGCCAGTGAAGACTGAGGCAAAGAAGTCATTCAGAACCTCAGCCTTCTCCAAATCCAGGGTAGCCAGTTCTCCTGAGAGCTTCCAGAGGAGGCCCAGTGTCCCTAGTCTATCTTCTGTTTGCAATGTACCTACAGAATCCCTTCCTGTTATCTTTAAGAGCTCATCTCAGTCTCCCCTGGGGCAGGTTCAAGCCATTCCCCTTGGCCTGGCCCTACAGGCCCTTGTCCCAAGCCCCTCTCCAGCTTTCCTGCAGCCCCTTCAGGCACTGGAGCTGCTCTCAGGTCTCCCCTTCTGGAGCCTTCTCTTGTCCAGGCTGCCCCAGCCCAGCTCTCTCAGCCTGGCTCCAGAGCAGAGCTGCTCCAGCCCTCGCAGCATCTCCGTGGCTCCAACAGTATATTCTGGAAAGCCAGATTACCATTGGCAAAAAGGACTGATGAATTTCTTGGTTTTCCAATGAGTATAAATTATTTTAATGGTGAAATAATTAAAAAAGCATCATAGAATCACAGGATGGTTTGGGTTGGAAGAGACCTTAAGGCTTGCAGGGGCAGGGACACCAAGTGTTTCCACAAGATTCAGCCTAACTCCTGAAATCCCACTGAGATTCCAGCAGCCTCCCCGTGCAGTGCCTTTACCTGCAAAGTAAGCTTCACATAGGGCCATGTGGACCTGTTCTCAGGCTCTCCTCCTGGAACTCCTGCCTGAACCATGTCGCTGTGCTGCTGCTCTTGCCAGTTCTTCTCACGGAGAGGCTCTCTCCAAGGCTTTATGCTGGTGAATGGCTCAAACCAAGATGGACCAGGACCAGCAAAGCAATTGGAATGGTTTTCTTTCCTAGATTCAGATTTCAAGTCTCCTGCCTGGACAAACCATGAAATCCCTGTTGAAAGACCACAGAAGGGAATAAAGCTTTGCAGCCAATACAAAGGCCTATTTTCCATCCCCATCTATGGCCCTTTATGCCTGTGCTGGGTTTGACTGGGGTACAATTAATTTCCTTCCCCATAGTTGGTATGGAGCTGTGTGTTGGATTTGTGCTGGAAACAGTGTTGATAACCCAGGGTCGTTTTACTTATTGCTGAGCAGCCTTATACAGGGTCAAGGCCTTTTCTGTTCCTCACTCCACACCACCAGCAAGGAGGCTGGGGGGGGCACAAAGAATTGGGAGGCAACACAGCCATGACCCAAGGGATATTCTAGATCATATGGCATCATGTTCAGCATATAAAGCTGGGGGAGGAAGGAGGAAGGGTGGGATGTTGGGAGTGATGTGGGTTATCTTCCCAAGTCACCGTTATGGGTGATGGAGCCCTTCTGTCCTGAGGATGGCTGCACACCTGCCAGTGATGGGAAGTAGTGAATGCATTCCTTGGTTTGCTTTGTTTATTAAACTGTCTTTACTTCAACTGATGAGTTTTCTCACTTTTCTGATTCTCTCCCCCATCCCACCAGGGGGACAGTGAGCAAGTAGCTCTGTGGTACTTAAGCTACCAGCTGCGTTTAAACCACAACACCCAAGGTTTTAGCTAAACCCAATCAGTGGCCTAACACTACACTGTAGTGAGTCCTTCAGTTTAACAACAGTGGGACTCTGTATTGGACAACTGGGGGAGTCTGAAAAGAATTCCTTCACCAAGTGCCAGAAAACCAGTGAGTCTTTACCAAACACCACTTTGGGAAAGCCCAAAATGGTTTAGTTTGCAAGTCGCTCTCTATAGAAAGGCTGTTCATCAGCAATTAGACACTTCTAAGAGCCTCTCTGTTGTCCTAAGCCCTACGGCTTCTTATAGGTGTTTGTGGAGATGAAATGCTTTACATCTTGTAAATGTTAAATGTGTATGCAAGAATTAGATTACTCATAGTTTACACACATAATGGGATTTGAATACATCAGCCTGTACTCCGCACAGATATTCTAAATGTACCAAATGAAACCAGTATGAAAGAGAATGATTTGTCCCTACACCAACAACGGTGATGACTAAGGAAAATATTTTTAAACATTTAATTATGACATTGTGAAAACTGACAGGAAATTTAAAAGGGGAAAGGAAAAAAAAAAACAAAAAAGCCAGGAGGAGGCTACATCATCAGCCTGAAAACGCAGCTCCAGCTGAACCAGGGGGAAGAGGCTGGTTCTGGTACCACAGTCTTGCCTCAAGTACTCCTGAAAACGTACTTGTCCCTTGAAGCCTCAGGACATGAAACAGTAAGTGACTACTCAGAGGTTAACAGAACCTTTTACAGCTTGCAAATCAAACTTAAGTATCTGCATGATTCCCATCTCACTCATCTTTCCTTGCCTTATGTATTGCTCATTCTTTACTACTTTTACTGGCCAGGTGGCCTCTAACAGCTTGATTGAAAATACCATTATAATAACACACTTCATATAGTGTTTTGCTTAATATCACGGATTAAAACCAGAGTAAGGAGTGACTGTACTAGGGACAGACTACTCGGTCTCACAGATTTTGCTGGCTGCTGTTGAGTTGTGCAACTCCGCTAGTGTGCGCAGAAAGTGTATGTTGGACTGACCTTGTGGTACCTGCAGCCTGCTCCTTTTTGTCCTTTTCTCCATGAAAACATTGCCTGGCTCTCCCTTCTGCTTCCCCTTGCTCCCTGCTGCCTGCTGAGCCATGACTGCACCATCTGACTCTCCCAAATTACCATCAACACAGCGCCAGGGTTCCTGTGGCTGTTCTTTTGGCTGGTTTAATCTTGGGGTAGGAAAAGTCACCCCAACATCTCGAGTGTTCTTCTTGGTCGCGCTGCTGACGATCTCCAAGTCTCCTGTAGTTGAAAATGAAACAGAAACATCGGATATTAAGAAGCTCTTCCCTGTGAGGGTGCTGAGGTGCAGGCACAGGGTGCCCAGAGAAGCTGTGGCTGCCCCATCCCTGGCAGTGTTCAAGGCCAGGTTGGACACAGGGGCTTGGAGCAAGCTGCTCTAGTGGAAGGGGTCCCTGCCCGTGGCAAGGGTTGGAGCTGGAGGAGCTTTAAGGTCCCTTCCAACCCAAATTACTCTGTGACTCTATGAGTCAACTTCAAATCTGCTGCAGAAAGACACAGTGGCAGGTCAACATGCAGCTCTGTATCTTGGACAATGGAACTGCGTTAGCTTACCCGATGTGTCCCATCAAAACTGTGTTTTAGCTACAGAAGGTTGGTTTGCCCACAGCACTACAAATATTTAAGAGAAACACCACCACAAATATTTAACACAAGCAAAGAAAGTGGAAAGGTGTCAACTAACATGGAAAATGTTGTAACACGATCTTGAAAACAAGCCATGAAAAGGCTTTTCTGATTCAATCCACATGCACATGGGGGAAAAGAAGCAGTAATAAATAACTAATGGATGTGTATGACGAACAGAACAAAGCTATTGCTCAATCTGATGATGGATGTTGGTGTGTAAATGAAAGCAATGAAGAAACTGGTTAAGTGCCACCAGAGAAACCCAAATGCAGCACTGCACTAGCCCAGGATCAGCTTATGTTTTAAATAGAATATAACAACTAAAATATCACCAAGAAGAATAAGAAACACTGCAGTTGCCTTCAGAAATAGCACATGCCCACAAATACATTCTGTGTGTAACAGATGTCTTGTGGAGAAAATAATACAGAAAACATACACTTGGTCCACCTTTGCTATTGAAATGGGTCAGGAGTTTGGATTAATAAACTGCTAAGTGAGAAAACTGGCTACTACAGCAGCCCAAGAAATGAAATGAAACGGTTCATTTAGATTACAACACAATATCTTTCTCTAAAAGCATCTGAAGAATGGCATTTGTAGGTACCCATCACCAGAAACATGCACCAGACTTTGAAGAACGGTTTCCAAAGAGATCAAAGGCAGAAGCAAGGACAAAAAAGCCTGGAATTCAACAACTCACCTGCTTGGATACCTTTGTTGAGCATCCGCGTCCGCCGCTTGTTACTAAGAGCAGAGCTGGGTCCCCACGTGCTGCTTATAGAAGTTGAATCTGATGAAAGGGAGATGGCAGTCTAGAAAAACAACATGCAAGAGAACAGAAATTGATGGCATACCAACCAAAATGAACAGAAAGTGGGTTTTAAACAACAAAAAGAAGTATAGAATCACAGAGTGGTTTGGGTTGGAAGGGATCTTAAAGCTCCTCCAGCTCCAACCCCTGCCACGGGCAGGGACACCTTCCACTGGAGCAGCTTGCTCCAAGCCCCTGTGTCCAACCTGGCCTTGAACACTGCCAGGGATGGGGCAGCCACAGCTTCTCTGGGCACCCTGTGCCAGCGCCTCAGCACCCTCACAGGGAAGAACTTCCTTATATCCAAGCTGAATTTCCCCTGTTTCAATTTAAACCCATTACATGAATTTACATTGTATGACACTGAATCATAGAACAGTTTGGGTTGGAAGGGACCTTCAAATATCTAGTCCAACCCCCCTGCAATGAGCAGGGACATGTTTCAACTTCACAGCCATTTCACAAGGAATAAACTCGAAGGGTAACACCATACTAATCTAATCCAGAGGCTTTCTGGCTCTCTATTTTAGAGTGGTTTATTAACAGCCATTAACTGGGAGTGCTGCCCCAGGCTCCAAACCCAACAGTGCAGCCCCACCTCTGCAACTCCACTGGATCTAGGCTTTAATTATGAAACAGATTAACTTTCTCATTCCTTGAGTGCAGCAATTAGTATCCTGTTAGTAACTCAGCACACAGAAATGAACAGAGGCTTTTTTTTATTACCTTTTGATGGAACCTCTGCTAGCAGCACTTCAATGCTACACAGGGGTTTGTTTCAGCATTAAAAAGAGGCAATTTGTCCTCTCCCACCCTGGTAAAGAACTGTGGGTTTCATTTCAGATAACTATTCCAGCACTAGTAGAGTGCACTAGACAGATGTAGTAGATCTGTGTCATTCAGAGAACAGAAGCAGATTTGAGTATGTGCTCAGCAAAAGGGAAAAAAGAGTAAAAAGCATGGAAAAACACACCCAGCTAACCTATTTACATGCATATCAGCCCTCAGAAATAAATATGAGCAGCCATTCAGTGCTGAATACAGACACAGAGATTCTATTTGGACTCCAATATTCAGCACAGTGCTTTCAAAGCCCTTCAGCAGTTGAATAGCTCAACCTTTAGCTTTGTACCTGCTACCAGATGGCAGCCTGAAGAGTGCTTTAGAAATAACAGAAACTGGAATAGATAAAAATCCTTCTGGGATGATGGGTTCAGCATCTATAAATAAAGCAAGCTGTAACGGAGGTTTTGGGAAGCTGAGCTGACAATAGGCTGTCAGAAACTGAGCTCTAACATGCAGCATTTGCCTAAAAGAATGGTACAGTGGTCTCTGAGGAGAGCTTTCACTGGAAGTAAACAGCAATCTTTAATCACAGGTATTTGTAACTACAACTAAGTAACTATTGCTTTCTGTTGAGCCAAGCATCACAGGAATCGCCAACATCATAGAATCACAGAATGGTTTGGGTTGAAAGGGACCTTTCAAGGGAAAGAAAGAACCATGTCTGAGACAGTTGGGGCTGTTCAGCCTGGAGAAGAGAAGCTGAATGGAGACCTCAGAGAAGCTTCCAGTGTCTGAAGGGGGCTACAAGGATGCTGGAGAGGGACTCTTCATTAGGGACTGTAGTGATAGGACAAGGGGTGATGGGTTTAAGCTGAAACAGAGCAAGTTCAGGTTAGAGATAAGGCAGAAGTTCTTTACTCTGAGGGTGGTGAGACACTGGCACAGGGTGCCCAGAGAAGTGGTGAATGCTCCATCCCTGGCAGTGTGGCCAGCATAGTCTAGTGTGAAGTGTCCCTGCCCATGGCACGGGATTGGAACTGGATGACCTTAATGTCCTTTCCAACACAAACTATTCTAGGATTCTATAGTTTGACCTCAACTTCACTCCTGGGAAGGCAGAAAGACTTGTTTGGGCTACTTAGACCAAAGACAGGAGGCTGTGATACAAACAACACCCTGGGAAGTTACAACAATTCCCCAGATAACCACTGCACAACAGCTGAGAAGTTCCTGTAAAGATCAGTTCAAGTTGTCTTTTGGTCCATCTGATCACATACCTGCATCTCTTTCCTCTTCTTGTGCCTCTCAGAAGTCACCTTTGGATACTCCACACCCACTGCTTTGCCCTTGTCCCACTTTTCAGAGCGAGTTCTCTGGTGGTTGATGGTATGATAAAGCTGGGAGAGCCTTGGGGACACCTCAACTCTTTCACGGCCAAAAGCCCGGATCAGCCTGGCAGTGTCGATGGTGGAAATGGAACTGCTCACCTCAGTCTGAGTGACAGTTTCCATCTCTGTCTGGGTCACTGTATCTGACTCTGAGGTGGTGGAAGTGATCGTGGTGCCATGATCTCCACTAAGCCTTGCCTCTGAGGAGGTGTCGCTTGGAGTTTCCAAGTACTGCTGCTCCAAAATGTTCTTCATGTGGCAGATGATTTTCTCTCCTGACCTGTTTTTCCTCAGCTCAACAAAGCTATTTTTGCCATGGGTGATGCGTGGTCTTCCTTCAACATGTGTTGCATCAGGCTCCGAGGTACTTTCAGACATGCTTTTTTCTGGCACTCTTCTTTTCTCCTGTTCTCTTCCCTTCATTCTCTGTACAGAAACACTCTTGTGAGAGGTTGTTGGGATCAGTGTGTGCCTAAGGGGATTCTGAAGGACCCTGGCCAGTCGATCAAGGCGTTCCACAAGAGTCAGCTCACCGTTACTCCTAGAACTATGGTGCTGGTGTCTCTTCTGGCACTCCAAAAACTTAACCCAGAGTTCATCCAAGCTACCATGAGAGTGGGTTCTCTGTCTCTGTGCCAGGTCGTTCTCCTCATCCTCATTGAGGTGAGTTGTTTGGCTACGTGGCAAAGGGTGAGTTCTAGCTGCTTTTTGTTCTGCTTCTCTTCTACTGCGGTGAAGGAGCTCCTTCCATGATGTTTCATTCCCCAAAGATGTGCTGATGTCTAGATCCTCATTCCTGCTGTTATCTGCTTCTGCAGTGAGTGGAAAGAATTCACTTTCACCATCTTTTTTATGACGAGCAGAGAAAACACACTGATGACCATGTGGTTTCCTCCTGTTCTGCAGGACAGCACTTGAGGAAGGTCTGGCAGGTCCAGCACCAGAACTGGCTTCTGACAGCTCACTGTTAGACAGGATGTAGCTTTCACAGGAGGGCACTGGATGGTGAAGGTAGAACCGTGCAGATTTGGAGGCTGCATGAGAGGTTTTCACAGTCTCTGTGTGTTCTAGAAGAGAAGAAAACACTCTAATCTGTTTCTTTTCAGTGAAACAAATAGCAAATGGCAAATCTTAACCAGGCTGATTTTCATCCTAACAATTCCCAGTCACTTCAAAGGATAAAAGCAGGGATCACTACACCCCTTCCTGAATGCAACAAGCTTAGAAATGAAGTTTCAGCATTATTAGAAGTACATGAGCAATATTTTATATCATTTGTAACATGGAATCCAAGAGAATATTCTATCCAACTGAATCTGAAGGAGGAATCCAGTTATACCACAGGTAATTACCTTGACCAAAACTTGATCTGAGTCTTCATCTATGGGAACTCCTGAGAGGCAGCCACAACTCATTCTGCCCCTTTTCACACAAATGCTCATGAAGCACAATGTCCCCTAGGGCTATACCTGAACATTCTCTCTCAGCTAACTCAGTAAAGCACTACATATAGAGTACAACCAGTACCACTTCCTCCACAGCTCCTTGAACCAGTTCAAGACAGCACATGCCAAGATCTAGCCCTGCTTTGCTTACAAGCTCAGAGGACACATTCTAGCTCAAAGCAGCTGTGAAATCCCCCCAGAATACACTATTATCTGAAATTACAAAGAAAATGCAATGATAAACTCATTTCTAGTAGGCATACACAAAATCAGTATGCAACATGTGCTAGCAGGAATGTACTCCTAAATAATTCTGAAATAGTTTCTAATATACTATTAAAAATCACATTTAAAAGGTAAAAATGTGGTTTAAGTTACGTTTGTTGTATACTGGACTGAACCATAGAGTGAACCATGCAGGTAGAAAGTACAGATTATAGATGCTAGCACCAGAAGGCCTTCCAAGTCTCTGTGCTTACTCAAAGACATCCCATGCCATTTTAGCCAAGTATGTGATTTAAAGATGCCTCATAAAGTACTAATAGCTTTAGTATGAATTGAAAAGTCAATACAAAGAACAGCCTATTTACTAATAGTAACAGCAGTGACAAGGTAACGGGAGCTGTCAGCAAGTGTGTACCAGGCTCCATTAATGGCAGGGATCACGCTCATGCTGGTTTTAATCCAGGTCTCCAACTTTCCTCCCAGGTTTGTTTTCCTGTTTGGACTTTTGCTGTTTGGTTTTAAACAGTCTTGTTTCCTGACTGTGAGCTACTGAGGACAACAGAACTAGAAAGCACCTTTTCATCTGAGACAGCTTTGCCACCGATTCAGCCAAAGGATGGCAAGTCCCGCATGGAGCCTCCTCCCTATGCCAGAAGGAAAAGACCAACCTACCTCACCAGGAGCCACGGTTTTACAAAACCTCATTGCCACGTGGGAAAGGGATACAAGAAAAGCTCAGGAATGGCTACAACTGAGTGAATTCACACTGTTAATACTGCCTCACAAACCGCCTTTTTACTTAATAACATCAGAACAGCACAAGAGGGACGTGGAGCTGTTGGAGCAGGTCCAGAGGAGGCCACGGAGATGCTGTGAGGGCTGGAGCAGCTCTGCTCTGGAGCCAGGCTGAGAGAGCTGGGCTGGGGCAGCCTGGACAAGAGAAGGCTCCTGAAGGGGAGACCTGAGAGCAGCTCCAGTGCCTGAAGGGGCTGCAGGAAAGCTGGAGAGGGGCTTGGGACAAGGGATGTAGGGACAGGCCAAGGGGAATGGCTTGAACCTGCCAGAGGGGAGACTGAGATGAGCTCTTAGGCAGAAGCTCTTCCCTGGGAGGGTGCTGAGGCGCTGGCACAGGGTGCCCAGAGAAGCTGTGGCTGCCCCATCCCTGGCAGTGTTCAAGGCCAGGTTGGACACAGGGGCTTGGAGCAAGCTGCTCTAATGGAAGGGGTCCCTGCCCGTGGCAGGGGTTGGAGCTGGATGGGATTTAAGGTCCCTTCCAACACAAACCAGGCTGGGATTCTATGATCAATTACTTGTTTCCTTCTATTTCTAAACATCTTTTCCCTTCCCAACACAGACACTCCAGTGTAATGCCAAGATCATGAAGAGCATAACCAGACCCAGCCTCACTAACCCTGAAACTGGAGGACTTTGTCTGCCCATACAAGGTCAATGTTTATATGCTGATGCAAGATTCCTCTACGGCCTCCTGACAAATGAGCTCAGGCTTGGGAATACTATGCAGAATTTTTGCCATTTCTCTATTTTTTTAACATTCCCAACAAAATGGAAGGAATGCAAAGAAGCAAAACATAAGTTTATAGAGAGAAACATTAAAATAACCCCATAACTTGCATGATTTTAAGCTCTAGACAAGCTCTGTGGGTAGAGGTAATCTTTTATTAGACCATCTAAAAATACAGTTGAAGAAGTCAGGGAGGATTTTAGACATTTGAGTCTTCAGAAAGCTTCCTTAAAACTTCAACTGTAGTGGCTGCTTTAACAGAAGGTTCTTTCTACTCACAGTTCCTTTCTTGGCTGTGTCTTTGGACCATCACAGCTACTGAAAAATACTATTAGATGATCTTATATTAACACTTGTGGTGCCCTTTCTTTTTTTTACCCAGGCTATTTAGAGAGATGCATTCATTGATCTTTGCTCCAACATGATGTTTTGTTTGTTACTGCAGATTCTTGTTGCATTTTAGTACCTTATTCCACTTATTTTATGCTTGGACTTGATGATCTTAATGGTCTTTTCCAACCTATCTGATTCTGTGATTTCTGTATCCTTGCATTTTATAAGTGCTCACAGAGAACTATTTCTTTCGTTAGAAAACCTGGGTTAAAACAATATTGTCTTCACACTAATTCAACTGTTGGTCATGTGTAAACTTAACCAAACAGTAAAATGAACATAAAATAATGAAGTTCAATGTGTCTTTTTTACATTATTTTCTGGAAATACTAAAATCTTTCCATTCTCAAGAGAAAAGCTTCAAAGAAAACCCCTTTTAAAGGGAAGAATTCAAACCATCAGACGGAATCCCTATCAGTACATGTGTGGGGTGACCTTACCTATCGAGGTACCTGCTTTAAAAGGGCAACAATAGCCACACTGAGGCACTCAGTGAAAACCTGTTCCATTCAGTGTTCTCCAAATAAGTTTACATGATGCTAAGAATAATAAATGGGCTCCCCAAACCCCTTTGTATGTGACTGCATACCAGAGAGCACAAACTCCGTAATTCAGAACCCATTATCCTGTTCATGTTTCAGTCCCATCCCTCAATAAAGCCACAGTTGTATTACTACCGCCTCGTAATTTGCTCGCTGGTTACTACAGCACATGCTGACAAATACTGGATCATGCCATAAACAGCTTCCTTGAGGAATTAATAACTGCATTTAGGAGAGGATCACACCCTCAGCAATCTTCAGTTCACAGTTACCTCTGTCCAGGAACAAGAGGCAATTCTCAAACACAACAGTCCTCATCCCTACTCAGACTCAAGGAAGTTTATCAGTCACTCGCAATCCTGGAATGAGGTTCTGTACAAAAAACAGGAGCCATCAGGACTAATTATAGCTGCTGTCAGGAGATACAGTGTCCACATCATCAGTGAGCTCAGTGAGATTTCATTCTGTCAGCATTCTCAACAAGTAAAGCCTTTAAGTAGGCCACTATAGTAGTGACCGTGACCTTCATCCATCAGGATTACCATCCAACGAGGCCAGTGTAGCAGAGGAAGGCAGAAACATCAGACAAATCAAATTAAAACTCAGCTAAACACATTACAGAGACACTTTACATGACATCACATCAGTGTATCTGTGGGCAAGAACACAACCCCAGGGGCCAAGGGGAATGGCTTGAACCTGCCAGAGGGGAGGCTGAGATGAGCTCTTAGGCAGAAGCTCTTCCCTGGGAGGGTGCTGAGGCGCTGGCACAGGGTGCCCAGAGAAGCTGTGGCTGCCCCATCCCTGGCAGTGTTCAAGGCCAGGTTGGACACAGGGGCTTGGAGCAAGATGCTCCAGTGGAAGGGGTCCCTGCCCGTGGCAGGGGTTGGAGCTGGATGGGATTCAAGGTCCCTTCCAACCCAAACATCCCATGGTTCTGTGACTCAATACACAGACAAACCCTATCTATATCCTACAAATAGGATAAACAAATCCTATCTATCCTAGAGAAATCCTATATCTATCCTATAAATAAGATAGACAAATCCTATATAAATCCTGGTTTTATTTACCAGGGAATTCCTGTTATTTTCTAAAAAAGCACCCTTTCTACACTTACTTAAAACAGATTTTGCACTTTACAAGCCAAAAAAGAACCAGCCAACACCCCACCAAACCCCAAAAATGTCTTATAAATGCCACAATAAGCCCTGGGGCCATGGGAATGCGGGCAAATACTAATGTCCAAATATTTGGGCAGTCAGGATGAAGCAGAAAGATGGGGAAGAGAAAACTGAGTCACATTCAGCATCTTTAGGCTACTATCAGCATATCATGAGAACACAGTCATGGTTGCTGAAATGTAACTCTTCTGCTCTACATTCTTTCATGTATATGAAAACACACATATCATTAAACACACTTTAACTACCTGGGGGAGCATCTGGTGGCATCATTTGGTCCTCAGCCCAGGCTAACTTGGGCTTGGCCCTCTTACTGGAGATTCCTTCTTGATGCTTGAGAGCCGTAATGTCAGGAGGGTTATCATGCCTTAAACCAAGCAGATTTGCCTGAAATCTTGGAGGAAGAACATCATTTGACCCTGCAGAGAAAGAGCAGTGACTGTGAGTAAAAAGTAGCAGGAAAAAGAAGCAGGTCTAATAGAGCCTCTTATCTGAGTAGTAGCACCAAGATGTTCACCAAGCAACAGTTGTGATCCCTAGTGAGCAGTACTAGTGAGTAATACAGAAGCAATGGGTATTGTGCCACATTGATTTCCATGATCTCTGGTGACAACAGATTTAACCTGCCAGAGGGGAGACTGAGATGAGCTCTTAGGCAGAAGCTCTTCCCTGGGAGGGTGCTGAGGTGCTGCCCAGAGAAGCTGTTGCTGCCCCATCCCTGGCAGTGTTCAAGGCCAGGTTGGACACAGGGGCTTGGAGCAAGCTGCTCTAGTGGAAGGGGTCCCTGCCCATGGCAGGGGTTGGAGCTGAAGGAGCTTTAAGGTCTTTTCCATAGAATCATAGAATCATAGAATAGTTAGGGTTGGAAAGGACCTTATGATCACCAAGTTCCAACCCCCTGCCTTGGGCAGGGACACCTCACACCAAACCATGGCACCCAAGCCTCTGTCCAACCTGGCCTTGAACACTGCCAGGGATGGAGCATTCACAACCTCCCTGGGCAACCCATTCCAGTGCCTCAGCACCCTCACAGGAAAGAATTTCCTCCTTAGATCCAATCTAAACTTCCCCTGTTTCAGTTTGAACCCATTACCCCTTGTCCTGTCACTGCAGTCCCTAATGAAGAGTCCCTCCCCAGCATCCCTATAGGCCCCCTTCAGATACTGGAAGGCTGCTATGAGGTCTCCACGCAGCCTTCTCTTCTGCAGGCTGAACAGCCCCAACTTTCTCAGCCTGTCTTCATACAGGAGGTGCTCCAGTCCCTGATCATCCCCGTGGCCTCCTCTGGACTTGTTCCAACAGTTCCATGTCCTTTTTATGTTGAGGACACCAGAACTGCACACAATGCTCCAGGTGAGGTCTCACAAGAGCAGAGCAGAGGGGCAGGATCACCTCCTTCGCCCTGCTGGTCACTCTCCTTTGGATGCAGCCCAGGATACAGTTGCTTTCTGGGCTGTGAGCGCACACTGAAGCCAGCTCATGATCATTTTCTCATCGACCAGCAACCCAATCCATTCCAACCCAAACCATTCTATTATTCAAGCCATTTATTATAAGGTTTTTCCCTAAGGTGGTTAAGTTTCACCTGTTCAACTGATGAGCACAGAAGAACACAAGAAAATGAGTATTAGACAGTCTGCTGGAAAGGCAGATACAGGACTTGAAATGTCCAAATTCCCTCTTGCTCACATTAAAATTCCTGACATTTTCTCTGACTGATGCAAGTATCTATTTTCTGGGCTCAAAATAACAATGGAGGAAAAGTGGAAGAGAACAGCAGAGCTGTATAACCCCTAAACAAGAATTCAAGCCACCAGCAGCAGAGCTCTCTTACTATCATACCGCTGTCTCCTAAAACAGTCCCAAACTGATTTATCCTCCTTGTCAACACCACCTGGTTACTTCAGTGAGCTTAACTCAATTACCATCAGCTACCAGTCATGAGCTGAGAATCCCAACTGCAGCAAGGAGTTTAAAAGACAAAAGATATGTTTAAATTCTGCTGTATGTTTTCTAGAACCTTGCATTGCCTCTGATGCATATTGAAATTTTATATCTAGCAGCACAGTTTCTGCAAAACAACAGACTCACACCACATTTGTTTCTCTTATTTTTGAGCATCTTACAACAGAGGGAGTGGCAAAGTGTTCAAGTGTCTAAGTGTTCAAGTGTCTAAGTGTTCAAGTGTCTAAGTGTTCAAGTGTCTAAGTGTTCAAGTGTCTAAGTGTTCAAGTGTCTAAGTGTTCAAGTGTCTAAGTGTTCAAGTGTCTAAGTGTTCAAGTGTCTAAGTGTTCAAGTGTCTAAGTGTTCAAGTGTCTAAGTGTTCAAGGCCAGGCTGGATGGCACTTGGAGCAACCTGGTGTTCTGCAAGGTGTCCCTGCCCCTGGCAGGGGTACGGACTGGATGAGCTTTAAGGCCCCTTCCAACCCAAACCATTCTGTGATTCTACAATAAAGAGGAGATAAAAGTAGTTACAAGCATGATTTCTGGCTATAATGACTAACTTGTGCACTTACTGTCACTGTGGTATCAAGCTACTCCCTTAGGGCACATCTGGCAGGACCTGGACATCTCTGCAATATTAGTTTTGCCTACAAATAAGTCTGGATGCCACAAAGCTCCGACTGAAAGCAACGTGCAAGTAAGAGCTATAATGCTTAAGTGATGCATTCGGCACATATAGGAGAGAACTGACAAATAACAGCAGGCAAAGCAAAAGAAGCTGATGAATCACTGAGCACCCTTTCTTCCAGTAAAAGAGAAGTGGTTTTTATTGTGAGGATGTGGGGAAGAGGTGAATGTGCTCTTCAAATCACAGTTATGAACTATATTGCTTGTAGAAAAGCTTTGTACACTGGAATCCCCTAACAGGGAGGGAAAATGCAGTACTGAGAAAGCTGTTCTCTGAAATGCATATTGTATTATGCAGCTATTTCAGAGAGCACACATGCCAAATTAATAAAAAGGGAGGAAAATGCCCATAAATAAGGGAACTAAAAAGAAGAACTGGCAGGGATATGAAAGAGTCCAAGCTGAATAGTCATTCCCAGGGGAAAGTAAAGAATTAGCAAGCTGTAAAACATGGAGCCGTGTTTCTTTTCAGTGCCAGAATGGAGTACTACCATCCCTTTCATCAAAGCAATTGAAACCATAGCCTCCAGTCAGGACTTGTAGAGCTTTGTGTTATAAAGCAGTGTGAACATGAACGAAGACATTCTGCTGTTAAAACCAATGCACTTACTCTAAACTGGTAGGACAGAAGAGTTCTGAGCTCCACTGAGACACTTCTGCACATGAAATAGATGTATTCTGATTCAGGAGCTACAGTCATCAGTTTGCAGGTGGAAGACTTAAGATAATTACAGATAAATGATCCTATGAAACACATACCTGAGTGAGAGCTCTCCACACTGGTTTCTGATCCAACTGGAGACATTTTGGATACTGCCTTTAGATAAGGAACATAATACATCCCAGTGCTTCCAGAAGGTTTATATGGCAGCAATAAGGGCTGATCTGTGGGGATGGGAGATAAAGCTATTACCACAAGTCAGGCTTTAATCCTTAAATGCAACTGAAGATAAAAGCAACTAATCAGGACCCAAGGAGACTGCTGAAGAAATCCCCTATTCTTTAGGAAAATATATTACCATTATTAGCTATTTAATTCATTTAATTTCATTATTTAATACCCACCCAGTGATTCAAAGGTTGACTGTTGCTAACAAAACCAGCTTACTGACCTATTCAATGTTCAATCTGCGACTAGGGTGACAAACACTGATGTAAAAAGACCAACTTGGGTACCAACATAGAATCACACAGTGGTTTGGGTTGGAAAAGACCTTAAAGCTCATCCAGTTCCAACCCCTGCCACAGGCAGGGACACCTTCCACTAGAGCAGCTTGCTCCAAGCCCCTTCCAGTATCTCAGACTTTGATAGATGAAGATCTACATAGAATCATAGGATAGTTAGGGTTGGAAAGGACCTTAAGATCATCCAGTTCCAACCCCCCTGCCGTGGGCAGGGACACCTCACACTAAACCATGGCACCCAAGGCCTCGTCCAACCTGGCCTTGAACACTGCCAGGGATGGAGCATTCACAACCTCCCTGGGCAACCCATTCCAGTGCCTCACCACCCTCACAGGAAAGAATTTCCTTCTTATATCCAATCCAAACTTCCCCTGTTTAAGTTTTAACCCGTAACATAAGACACATGTACTCACCACCCTGCTTTGTGAAAGAGGACACCTTGTCAAGAGATGAAGCTGTGTTGTTGGGAAGCTCATGTGCTTTCTGGAGAGGTGGTTGGTGAACATCATTTCCACTGTCTTGTGAATTAACATAAATCTCTGCTGAAAAGGTGGTTTTTACAGGACTCTCTGTTGTTATCTGAGTGGCAGCATCAGAAGTGCTTTTCACAGTGCTTGCAGGAGCTACAGAGTTGAAGGTATTCTTCACACTACATCGCCCTGAACCAGGAACCTGTGGTCTCTCACTGCTCTGTGGAGGCAGCTCTTGCCCTGCTGTGCTGGTGACAGAGGAGAGGATGAGGCAGGGATCTGATGAAGATGCTGGCATGGGGAGAGATGAAGATCTTTGATCAGCAGATGACAATTTAGAAACAGCTTCTATTGAAGCTTCTGGAGCTTTAAAAGACACTGGTTGAGTCTTAACTCCAGGTTTATCCCATACTCTCATCTCATTTTCAGTATTCACATCCCTTTGCAGCTCTGAGCTATTACATTTTGAGGAAAGAGTTATGTGGACACAAGACAATACCTTCTTAGTTGGTGAGGAAGGAGATACAGATGTGGTGGATAAAACCTCACCTGTAGATGAGTGGTGAGATGCATCGACTGCGTCTCTCACTTTCTGAATGAGGGGTACTTCATCAGAAGGACTGTTCTTCTCTTCTGCTGACAGTTTAACATGGCCCTTCATCAGGTCAGTTTGTAGAGCTGGACCTGAACCTTTCAAGCTCTCATAGAACTGGACATGGCCAGCTGGGCTGCTTTTCTCCTCCTGGTAAGAGCTTATGGAATGTGGTTCACTAAATCTATTCATTTCTTGACCAAACCTCCTCTCACAGCCAAGCCCCAGGAGTCTGGCACTTTGCCTGCCCGAGTCAGTCACATCTCGAGGCAGAACATCAGAATTCTTTGCACTAAGGGTCTGTCTTTTATCAATATGGATGCTTTCAGAATCCTGATCTGACAAACAGTCTGTCTCTTGATGAGCTCCAACACTGTTACTGTCAGCAGAGACATGATGAAACCTGTCTTTCTCAGCAGTATAAGCAATCTTACTAGACACTGAGCCAGCAAGCACTGGGCTTGAAGGAGAGGTCTTTGATCTCTCCCAGTGTTGTTTGTCATGGCTGTGCTCCTCAGTGCTAGCACAGTCAACCTCCAAAGGCATTATCCCATCAAAACCATCTCTAGTAAAGCTACTGTTGAGTGCCATGGAAGTCAATGGTGACTGCAAACGTTTTCGGGATGAAAAGGTGATAGAAGTGATTTGCTTGGCCAGATCTTCAGAACACTTCTCCATCAACAGCTTCTTCTGAGACAGCAAATGGGCTTCTGTTTGGGCATCAAAAGCAGCTGCAGACCTCATTGCACACGTGTCCCCTCCCATCTGCAATGGTGGGTGAAGTTCAGCAGCAGAATGACCAGTTGGACCTGTTTGATGTGGGTTGCAGATAGGCGTTTGAACAATCCTCAAGGATTTAATGTGTGTATCCTTCAGCAGGCAACAATCAGAAGGATCAGCTTGATGTAATGGCACAGCTTGCGTCAAGCTTGACTCTAAAAGCTCCTCAGTCCCGATGGATTGCCTGTGCTTGTCAGTCTGAAATCTTCTGTCACTTGGAACTTTGAAATGCTCAATGTCCTGTTCTCCATTACGACTGTACTCAGAAGCAGCTTCCAAACCACAGACCCGTGGAGCCTGAAAAACAGAGAGGAATTCATGTAGGTTATGGGGGTACCTGCCTGCCCCTGCCCACATCTGGATTGTGGAATTCAGGGGACTCGTGCTGTCAATAATCAAGAGCCTGTCACCATGTGTGAGCACACCCTTCCTCTGGAACTCATGTGGTAATGGAACTGATCATAGAATCACAGAAAACCCACAGGCTGGTTTGGGCTGGAAAACACCTTAAAGCTCCTCCAGTTCCAACCCCTGCCACGGGCAGGGACCCCTTCCACTAGAGCAGCTTGCTCCAAGCCCCTGTGTCCAACCTGGCCTTGAACACTGCCAGGGATGGGGCAGCCACAGCTTCTCTGGGTACCCTGTGCCAGCGCCTCAGCATCCTCATCAAGGGTGATTGTCCCATCAAGTCTCAAAAATGTCTAAGGATGGAGAACTCACATACAAATGAACTACTTGTGATCTATGCATTACTGATGAAACAAATCCCCTTCATAGCTCCACAGAAACACCAACACAAAAAGCCACGTTTACTTCCAGCTGTAAGTACTCAAACCTGAACTAGTACATAATGTTAAGTTCTGGCGACCTCCAAGCCTCCAACTCTTCTGGTCTGGATGAATCCAAACAAACTCCACACTATTAAAGTGCTGCTTTATGGGACATTTTAGGGTTATGGAGATGCTTCTACAGCTGACACTTTGCTTTGCCATAACTATCACTGTATGAAACACAACTTGAGAGAAAGGGTTTCCCTTGCACTTGAGTTGTTTGACTTAATGGTTATGAAGGATAACTAAAATGAGAGAAACAGGGAAGAAAAGCAAGCTGCTCTTTATACTAATGAGAAAATACTTAATTAGAAATGCTTCAGTTTCCCATAACTGATATTTCTCTTTGCCCTGAAAGAAGCCAATTTCCCCCCTAGACAACTGCTGCAATAAACCTCTTTATTTTTATGGTCCCAGCCCATTGCTGGCAGTAATGAGACAGTGACTGAAAATCATCAGAGCTTTGATTTGCTCTTTAAGGTCAGTGAGAACTTGCCAGAACTTTCCAGTTCTCGGGTACAGCTCGTGTCGTTCTCCCATCAAAACGGGTACGTTTGCCACAAAGAGGATTTTTTTGCTTACAACGCTGGTGACAATGCTGCAAGAAAGAGAAGGTATTGCAGAGAAGTCCCATATAACACACTAATCCCACAAAACCAGTGAAGTTCACTGTCAGTTGTCTATGCTCATAAAGTCTCTTTAAAACTAGGTTACATGTTTGTCTGACCATACAAATTGTCCCACATCTGTATCATCCCTTCAGGATCAGGATCACTATATTAAGGACTCCACTATTTGACTACACGGATTCAGGCATCTCTGGCATGTGTTTCACACAGTATTATAAAAAGCTGTGCCTTAAACTGTTCTGCTCTGGAGACAGGCTTCTGGGAGACCTTAGGGCAGCTCCAGTGCCTAAAGAGGCTGCAGGAAAGCTGGAGAGGGGCTTGGGACAAGGTCCTGTAGGGCCAGGCCAAGGGGAATGGCTTGAACCTGCCAGAGGGGAGACTGAGATGAGCTCTTAGGCAGAAGCTCTTCTCTGGGAGGGTGCTGAGGCGCTGGCACAGGGTGCCCAGAGAAGCTGTGGCTGCCCCATCCCTGGCAGTGCTCAAGGCCAGGTTGGACACAGGGGCTTGGAGCAAGCTGCTCTAGTGGAAGGGGTCCCTGCCCGTGGCAGGGGTTGGAGCTGGAGGAGCTTTAAGGTCCCTTCCAACACAAACCAGGCTGGGATCCTATGATTTCCCTACTTTCTGCAACTCCCTGTGCATGTGGAAGGATCAGGCGGTAGGGATGGAGAGGACCTTGCTTCCAAGACTTTTCTCATTACAGCAGAAGCTCCAAACGCCGAGAGTTGATCCATGCAGCAACTTACCTGACTCACATATGGAGAAGGTAGTTTGGAAGAGAAGATTAAGAGATTAAAGATCACACCACAAACAAGCAAACAAACCACAAGTGAATAAAACACCACACTCCCAGGTGCACGCAGAAAGCTGTCACTCGAAGAACACGAAGAGAAAGCCTTGCAAGTACAACTGGGAAAACCTTAAGTTATCATTCACTATAAACTGCAACAGATTTTACCCTGAAGCACATTAAGACAGCTACTCACCTGGTTTTTAACACTGCACCTCCAACAAGGGGCAAGAACAAGAGAGCTGAAACCTTCAGAAGTAGCTGTACTGATTCTAGAGAAAGGAACATTTATCTACACACCGAGATGGCCCTCACTTAGGTGGGCACTAAGTGAACCAGGTCTCAACACAGTCCCAGTGCTGACACAAACCACACCATGCAGGAAAGAGCTCCCTCTTACGTTATTCCACCCCGACTCTTTGTGATGGGTCAGTTTAACTTCAGAAGCAGCATCATTGTTAGTGACCACTGGGAATGGACAGGACAAAAGACAAATCAATTTATCAGCATCCAAACCTCACACTCAGATCATAAGAGTTTGTGTTCATGAATGTGAAACTGCAAGTCACCAGCCTTCTTTAGAGAAGATTTAAGAATGGACATCATTAACTTATCACTCTCTGCCCTTCCTTAATTTAAGGGTCATTAAAAATCACGATACTTGAATTGCAGAGAGCAAACCTCAGATAAACGCAGTACCATGGAGATGGGCCAGATAAGCTTCTTTAGAAAATGATAATGATACAAATCTTGGCTATATTTATATATTCCTACTGAGTGGAATAACTGTGGAAACAGCAGAGTATATTTCACAGGTCCCTGGATGATTATAGCTCAGCAGCTAGTTGGAGTTTGGAAATAGAAACCTCAGTCAACAACATTTCTGGTGTAAATCAAAGTATAAACAAGTATTCCACAACTGATTTTCCATCCTGTGCACATCCCAGATGTCATTAGTAGGGAACTGTTTCACCAAGGTCTGGATTATTATTTCCAAGCAGTATTTTTCTGTGGTCTTACCTTGTTGAAGCAGAACTAAACTAGTTTAGCTACCTTGGTGCCTACAGGCAAGAGGGACTGTAGAACACAGAGCAGCCCTGTGCCAGCGTAAGGCTGCTCCCATGACATCTCTGCCCCAAACCACACACCAATTTGATGGCCTGAAGTAGTGAGGCCATGAGTGAGCCTTGAGGGTGCTGAGGCACTGGCACAGGGTGCCCAGAGAAGCTGTGGCTGCCCCATCCCTGGCAGTGTTCAAGGCCAGGTTGGACACAGGGGCTTGGAGCAAGCTGCTCCAGTGGAAGGGGTCCCTGCCTGTGGCAGGGGGTTGGGAATGGATGAGCTTTAAGGTCCCTTCCAACCCAAACCATTCCATGATTTTGATTCTAAGTAATACCAAGCAACTCCTACTCCTGAGAGCAAGCACAGAAGTTGCTATAAACTCCTCTTCCCAAGCCTTTCACATGTTTTATTGTGCTTGTTATGTGTCATCTTTCCAAAAAAGATCTATATGGCATATGATCCACAAGAGATTGCAGTGCAAATTTAGAGCTACAACTCAGTGAACTTCCTGAAAAAGTGAGAAAGTACAAGGAGTGGAAAAATACAGCATAATCTGGGAGAATACAGTATACAAAGGCAGAATGCTCTCAGACAAGAGATGGCTATTTGGCATCCATAAAAATAAAGGTGAAGAAAAAAGGTCCTCGGTTGAGAAGGAAAACTCATAGGTTTAACACTTTGAACCTGGATTTATATCTAAGAGCAACTCAAACCCCCTCAATCTTAACTAGGGACCAAAGCAAATGTACACTCAGCACAAGAAGAAGGTTAAATGTGAAAGACAATGCTCCTCGAATGGAAACTAGACCTACAAGTCTTTGGCTTTTCCCTGTTATGCTAAAAGTTCTGATCTGGAAAGAGCCTCATGATTTCAATGGAAGAACAGTAACAGGGCTGAGTTCTGGAGCTTAGGATTGGCTTTTCATTTGTTTTTCCTAAAGTCCCAACAAATATCATAGGTGGCTCATGGCTCATTCTGGAAAGCAGCAGCCATCCCTATGGTAAAACTGCTTATCAAAGTAGTAAGTAATGCCAACATACCTGCTCAGGCAAAACCAGATCTCCACAACCACACCAGCATCACCACAGATGTAAGAATTATTGACCCAACAGTGACCTGTCTATAGTAACATCCTGGCAACTCTTTGCCTCCCTTCGCCACAAACAAGCTTATAGGAGAGAGCCACCAGTCCTTCCTAAGCTTCATGGACCAATCTGAAATGTCACATTTTTAAGGCCCCTTTACAAAGCATTTGCATTAAATAACCACAGAATCCCAGCCTGGTTTGGGTTTGGAAGGGACCTTAAAGCTCCTCCAGCTCCAACCCCTGCCACGGGCAGGGACCCCTTCCACTAGAGCAGCTTGCTCCAAGCCCCTGGGTCCAACCTGGCCTTGAACACTGCCAGGGATGGGGCAGCCACAGCTTCTCTGGGCACCCTATGCCAGCGCCTCAGCACCCTCCCAGGGAAGAGCTTCTGCCTAAGAGCTCATCTCAAGTCTCCCTCTGGCAGGTTCAAGCCATTCCCCTTGGCCTGGCCCTACAGGCCTTGTCCCAAGCCCCTCTCCAGCTTTCCTGCAGCCCCTTCAGGCACTGGAGCTGCTCTCAGGTCTCCCCTTCAGGAGCCTTCTCTTGTCCAGGCTGCCCCAGCCCAGCTCTCTCAGCCTGGCTCCAGAGCAGAGCTGCTCCAGCCCTCGCAGCATCTCCATGGCCTCCTCTGGCCTCGCTCCAACAGCTCCACGTCCCTCTTGTGCTGCTGCCCCAGAGCTGGATCAGGACTGCAGGGGGGTCTCCCCAGAGCACAGCAGAGGGGCAGGATCCCCTCCTTGAGCTGCTGCTCACGCTCTGGGGGTGCAGCCCAGCACACGGGGGGGTTCTGGGCTCAAGCGCTCACTGAAGCCGGGTCATTTGGAGCTTAAAAATTAAGATCTTAAAGCCTTCAAAATTCAGTTTCCCTAGTGAATATTTTGGGCCGCTGTTCAGCAGAGCCCTTCAGTACATGTTTGGAGCCCATTTATGTGCATATGTCCCAATCACCTCCTGAAACACTCAGCTAGAACTTGAGAAATCAGTATGATGCTTCTCCTTCTGAGCGTCTGTTAACACATCACCAGTGACAAACACCTATCAAACGGCTCCTTGACTACCTCAAAACATGGAACAATCTTGAAACGCAGAAGATCACCGAGAAGAACCCTCCCAAACTGTCCTACTCCTTCAGTGCCTTGGCTTTTTTTTTAAGAGAGAAGCTTCCCATGCTTGCTGCAGGAAACAAGAACATCTCGCAGTGGTACATTATATTTCTTGAGTTGTCACCTAGAGAAATGAGAGGCAGAGTCTAATCTTTCCAAAAAGAACATTCATCGCATGCCTGCATCAGAAGCACTAAATAAAGATGATGGTCTGACGGAAGAATTGGTTGCTGGAGTGCTTGGGAACAGTTTGTCTTCCTCAGCCTTTCCAATTTAGAAGGAAAACATCGTTGCAGCATCTTTGTTCTGGGTTTGAAGGCAGCGCCCGGGTTTGCTCTGCGAATTCAACAGGTATGGTACAGAACAAGATCCACTGCATCCACAGCAATTATACTGTCAGCAACAAAAGTGGATGCAATTTTTACCCCCTTAAACAGTTGTCAATAATCTGTATTTTGCTGTGATGTGCTGTTTTGATTGAGAGGAAACTGAAAATACAGGAAGAGTGTGGAAAAAGAGAGGAAAAAAAAATACATTTAGCTGAAGTCTACCAAAAACCACCCCATCGACCTTCGTGCTGCAAATTTAACCCAGCTCTTTACCTCAAAGCCATTGTAGAGCAAATGTATTTCCAAGCTCAAAGCAGAGCATGTTGTGGTTGACTTAAAGCAGTTTCTTGGAATGTTGGTTTGCAAAACTATGACTGATATTTGCTTATTCTCATTTGGGATAAAGCAATTCACATCTGATACAATCACATGAAGGTAAAACGTTTGGTTCATCAGTCATAGGTTAATACTGGGGACAAAGCTGTGATCTAACAAAAGCTGGGAGGAAAAACAGCTTCAGGCCTCTAGCTTTTGACAAGGAGATAGAAGCAAAAATGCATTTGTGATTTGGTTTCCTGTTTGTCTGAATTTCTGAAACTAAACAGAACTGTTGAAATATGGGTTTTTTCCTGCTTCCCATTCAAATATTACATCAAATTGTGAATAACTGAGCAGTTTGCTCCGATGGTTTTTGGAAGCTGATGTCTCTATGACCAAGACAGTCCATGCCCAAGAAACTATGAACACAAACACAGACTGCTCTTAACACTGTTCTTCATTTCAAAAGGAAGGATGTGGACTTGCTAAGAACAATGGGCTGTGTGCACCTTCTAACCTCAGTAACAGCAATGGTCCCGTCACATCAAAGCATCCCAGACAGGTTTGGGTTGGAAGGGACCTTAAAGATCATCCAGTTCCAACCCCTGCCACAGGCAGGGACCCCTTCCACTAGAGCAGCTTGCTCCAAGCCCCTGTGTCCAACCTGGCCTTGAACACTGCCAGGGATGGGGCAGCCACAGCTTCTCTGGGCACCCTGTGCCAGCGCCTCAGCACCCTCACAGGGAAGAGCTTCTGCCTAAGAGCTCATCTCAGTCTCCCCTCTGGCAGGTTCAAGCCATTCCCCTTGGCCTGTCCCTACATCCCTTGTCCCAAGCCCCTCTCCAGCTTTCCTGCAGCCCCTTCAGGCACTGGAGCTGCTCTCAGGTCTCCCCTTCAGGAGCCTTCTCTTGTCCAGGCTGCCCCAGCCCAGCTCTCTCAGCCTGGCTCCAGAGCAGAGCTGCTCCAGCCCTCGCAGCATCTCCATGGCCTCCTCTGGCCTCGCTCCATCCCTGATCACATCTCTGGCCTTCACATCTTCTTTCAGAGCACCTTAGTTGTGTGGCACCCTCCAACACCTCAAACCACGCCACTCACCCAAGATACCCAACTATCAGCTGGGGGAAAACATGTGCCATGGCTGGTCCTAAAACATACATAGGAACTGGCTAAGCCAAAACAAGCAGCTCCACTAACCAGAGCTCTCAGTGTTCGCATCCCCCCCCTCCCTCCGTAGACACCAATCCTCCAAAGTACTGCAGGAATATAACTCATCATTTTAAGATCACATCAAGACAGCAGCATTTATCCCCCACTCCAACTGTTTTCCCCAGAGCAGCTGGCTTGTACCTTGGCACGTGCAGATTTCCTGGCACTCCGAAGCAGCTCTGCCTTTATTTCCTGGATCCTTTGCTGGTCCTCTTGGTTCAGGTCTGACACGGACTCCTGAGATCGACTGGCCAGTTTTAGCTTCACCCAGGCTACACAAAGAACAGGAAACAGAAAGCAGTTCCCTTTCCATTCTGTCACATCACGTATGGTAACAGTTCTATACCTTAAAATCCAAACTTTGCTATGTGTTTGTTGCTAGCATGACTGAGGGAACAAAAACCACTCAAATACCAGAGACCAGAGCTCATGGACTGACCAGGGATACAATTTTAAATGAGTCTGTTGAATATTTCTTTGGAAAGATGGATCCAGGACCCATCACCTGGTTCCATCCTCTTTACAGTGCCAGACTCCAGTCACCACTCTATCACACAGTCCCTTCCCAAATCCGTAACATAGCACATGGATGATACCTACGTGGACAAAATACTTTTGCACCAATGTCAGGCAAAAGAAGGCATTCAAACTGGAGAAGTTCACTTCTACCCCAGTTTCACCATACTACACAAGATGACTATAAAACATTAATCATTTAAGCCCTGTCCCTTTACATTTATCATTAATAAATGATACATAAGTAATATAAAGTATTATAATAAAGTAATATAAGTACCTCTAAAATCAGGGGAACAGGTTCAGGTTGTCTTACATCCATAGCCCTTCACTTCAAAGTCAGTCTCACAGAGTGACTTGGGTTGGAAGGGACCTTAAAAGGTCATCCAGCTCCAACCCCTGCCACGGGCAGGGACCCCTTCCACTAGAGCAGCTTGCTCCAAGCCCCTGTGTCCAACCTGGCCTTGAACACTTGAACAGGGATGGGGCAGCCACAGATTCTCTGGGCAACCACTTTAAAGCCATCCCTTCCACATGCACCTAACTAAACACATGCCATTCTAACATAACACTTGATAAAACACAACTGAGACGTTCCATTACCTCGTGCTTTCCTCTCCTCTTCATCTGCGCTCGTCACAACTTGTGTCAGAGGTGATCCATTCCTCAGGAGGTTTTTGACATGGGCGGCTAGGGAATCTCCACTGCTGCTGCTGGCACTCTCCCTCATGCCTCCTGTCTTCCTTCCAGATGTACCAGCACTGGACAACGTGCTCTGGAAGCCTCCTGGGACACTGGTGGTGCTGCCTAAAGGCTCCGAGGAAGGAGGATTCCTCATCAGGAGGTTTCTGACACGGGCAGCTAGTGAATCTCCACTGCTGCTGTCCTCACTCCCTCGTGTGCCTCCTGCCTTGCTTCCAGCTACACCAGCATTAGACAAGGTGCTCTGGAATCCTCCTGGGGCATCAGTGACACTGCCCTGGGGCTCTGAGGAAGAAGGATTCCCTGATTCTGAAGTTGTTCCAGTGCTGTCTTCACTGCTTCCACTGCTTTGTGCAAGACCCACAAACCCAGGCTGGTTTCTGTCTGTAGTTACACTGCTACAGCCTTCTGGCTCAGATCTTCCTACAGATTTTCCAGTCTTAAGCATTGTGGTCATTTCCTTCATCACCCCTTCACTACTGTGCAAACTGACATCAAAAGAGTTTTCCCATCTTAAACTGCATGTGTTATAATGCAGAGGGTTTATTACCAACCCCTCTTCTTGACTACTTCTTTGGGTCATAGCCTCATCCTGAGACAGTATCTTGTGGAACTCAGGGATTCTGTCTTTCCCTACCCTAGAATCTTCAGAGCCAACCTCCTTTCTATTGAGCACTGGGGAAGACTCACCAGTTTCTCTACAAGAGGCAATGGAGAAGACAGGCTCACTCCACCTGCCAGCTATATCCTCTGCCTCTGCCAAAAGCTTCTGTATTTCTTGAAATGCAGCAGATCCCATCAAATGACAACTTTCTTGATCCTTATTTCTCTTATTACCTACACTTGATGTTTGTGATCCTCTGTCAACTTCCACTTCGCCTTTAACTGCAGCCAAAGCACCGGCAGCCCATCTCTGCGGGCTGCTGTATGCATCTTTGGACTCATTTTTAGCTAGCAGATCCTGAACGCTCTTGGCAGCAAGGCTGGGACTCTCCCTGTCAGCATGGCAGTGAGGTGAAACACTCTGCAGCTCCTGCTTTGCTTCCGCTGCTTTGGAGACAGCTGAAGACTCTGCCTCGGGAGCTGTAGTCTCCAGATGATGGCATGAACCAGTGCACTGACTCACTGGGTTGTCTCCAAGAGACCCTGAAAAGCAGGGAGAGAGTTCATGGGGTGACAGAGCATCAAAGCCAACCTCTGGATGCATTGGTACAGACACACTGAGAGCAGGTGTGCCGAAGCTGAAACTTGTCTGAGTGATTTCAGCTGCTGACAGCAATTTACCTACAGACAAACAGAAGAGTCAGTAAGGTTGGGGCTCCAGAAACAGCTGCATCAGGAAAGACTTTTTCTTGTACTGGAGGGATGGTAAAGGGAGGGAAGAATCCACATATCAGAAAACACTTGAGAAATTGGTTTTGGAATGAGACATGAACTAAGACTTCCATGAGAACTAGCCACTGAAAATCTCTCAAACCACCTGGGATAAATACCAAGGAAACTACAGAACCTGACTTGAATAAACTGCTTTTAAATAAATCTTTAGACTGAATTTTAAATACATGCTCTTAGGTACATGACATAGTGGTGCCTGAATGTCCAAATGAGCATTTGTATTTAAAAAAGCAGCATTTCCAATATATCCTTCTGAAAACAGGCAAAGGACATGCTATGGACAAGCTTCCTTCCCATTACTGGTTAGTGAGCTCCCCACGACCCAGCTTCAGTGAGCACTTGAGCCCAGAGCCCCTCCGTGTGCTGGGCTGCACCCCCAAAGTGTGAGCAGCAGCTCAGGGAGGGGATCCTGCCCCTCTGCTGTGCTCTGGGGAGATCCCCCTGCAGTCCTGATCCAGCTCTGGGGCAGCAGCACAAGAGGGACGTGGAGCTGTTGGAGCGAGGCCAGAGGAGGCCATGGAGATGCTGGGAGGGCTGGAGAGAAATCATTTCCTTCTTAAGAGCTCTTATAAAAGAGAAATAAAGATAAAACGTGATGAAATGTCACTGCACTGCTGGAAGATGCCACATAGCCTTGAGTCCTTAGAGAGCAGGTACGTTTTCCATGGTTTTAATGCTTCCTTTTTCCAGTGTCAACTACTTCACATGCAAGATGGGAGAAGCTCAACTTGTGCAAATGAAAGAGAGCATCACACGAGAAGAAACACACCTGACACAGGTGAGCCTGAAGTCCTGTGCTCTCAAAGCCTTGCACAACACAAAGTCCCTCCTTCCCCATACCTTGTGGCTGTGGAGCTGACCATGCCAGTGTGTCAGTGGAGTCCTTCAGTGTTCTAAGCTCTGAAGGGGAAAATTCAACTTCCCTGATGGGCCCTCGGGGCACAAATGGCCTCAGTATGGTTCCAGGTGACTGATCAATGCCAAGGTTCTGAAGATATAGCTGGCAAAAGAAGAAATAAGTAAGATAATGGCACTCTTACAGAAAATCAGATTCTGAAGGTGCCTATTTTCTGCATCATCATAAATGCAAACAACTTGCCTGTTTTCTACCTAATATGACTAAGTCTACCTAGCAGACACCTCACAGGCCATGTGCAGCCCAGCAGACAACTGATGTATCCTGTACCTATTCCTCATGCAGTTCTGTCTGGAAGCAATTCAGCCCAAGTTGTAAGAACTACTCTGATGGGGACAGCTTGTGCTTGCACTCACCAGCAGTTCTTTCCTGGGCCTTTCCTGACCTTTCCTTCAGCACATGCCAAAGATGGACACTGGCAGCAGCCTGATGCCACCAAACCAGTGCCCAGCCCTTCCCACAGGAACCAGAAAGGATGGAAAAGGTTGGCAAAGAGGTCACATATCCTGTTCTTGTGACAACAGCCAACTGCTTGTAGTCTTTACTCATGTGCTCCATACACTGCGTAAGCGAGAGATCTGATACTTCAGAGGAGGCTGATAAACTTCAGCCTCACCTCTTTAAAATGCCATTTATCAGCTGGAAGGAGAACACAAACGTTTGGTTTAAAAACCTTCTTCCTCCCAAATAACGGTTGCACAGAAAACATTATAGAATCCCAACCTGGTTTGGGTTGGAAGGGACCTTAAAGCTCCTCCAGCTCCAACCCCTGCCACAGGCAGGGACCCCTGCCACAGGCAGGGACCCCTTCCACAAGAGCAGCTTGCTCCAAGCCCCTGTGTCCAACCTGGCCTTGAACACTGCCAGGGATGGGGCAGCCACAGCTTCTCTGGGCACCCTGTGACAGCGCCTCAGCACCCTCCCAGGGAAGAGCTTCTGCCTAAGATCTAACCTGAACTCCCCCCGTTTCAGTTTGAACCCATCACCCCTTGTCCTGTCCCTAATGAAGAGTCCCTCCCCACCATCCCTATAGCCCCACTTCAGACACTGGAAGCTGCTCCGAGGTCTCCACACAGCTTCTCTTCTACAGGCTGAACTGCTCCAGTGTTCCCAGGCTGTCTCCATACAGGAGGTGCTCCAGCCCCTGAGCATCCTCATGGCCTCCTCTGGACTTGCTCCACCAGTTCCATATCCTTTTTATTTTGGGGACACCAGAATTGCACACAGTGCTGCAGGAGTCTCATTTCTTACTATTTAAAACACCCTACACATAACAGCCATACAGTTGACCCAATCTCCTTTACCTGGTCAGTGATTTCTAAGAGCAGAATTCCTCAGACCCAGTGCTGGAGAACAGCCTGATTATCGTCATAAAAGAAGGTAACAGACAACCTTTACATCTCACCCATGTCACTTACAACATCCTCCCTACAATATTTATATTTGTTTCACCACGTATTTGCCCAGACAACCAAGTGAAGAGTGCTCTAAACCCCAGCTCCAAACCCTCATCATTACAGGAGTCATCTTGTGAGAGGAACAGCCACTTACTCAGAAGATAATTACATGTTTATCATTAACATAAATCTGCATCTCATTTTCCCCTAACACTCAGCACCCGTTAGCACAGCTCACATGGCTCCCAGAACCTGCCCTCCAATCCCAGCAACAAGCCTGAAATGGGAAAAGAAGGGAAGGAATCTTCATTAAGTGAGATTTAAAGGAGGAAATGGATTCAGAGGCTTCCAAAAGCCTTTATGAGCAATATATAAAGGATCAGGAATTTACGCCTTGGATACAGGAACAAAGTGAACATGCAAAGGGAGTATTTATAGAAGAAAAAGGCAGTTTGATTTGCCAGGATCCTGTGGTGGGTTTTCTATTACTGCAGATTGTGGGTGGGTGAAGTTCAGCTCTTCTGCAGCCCAGTGTTTCCTTAGTCAGCAGTTGAGCCTCAACCTCATGGCTGGATAATTATAACCTGGATCTTTGGAAAGACTCTGGAAGACCAGAAATTGCTTATCAGTGCTCTGCTAAAAGAGTCATAACCAATTCCTGTATGAGTTTCATCAAAAACATTGCACTTTTGATCATCATGTCCTGTCCTTCGAGTTCCATCACCATCCACCACCAATCTTTACATTTTTCCTGCGTTATGCCAGGTTGGATAGGGCTTGGAGCAACCTGCTCTAGTGGAAGGTGTCCCAGTCCATGGCAGGGGGTTGGAATTGGATGAGCTTTAAGGTCCCTTCCAACACAAACCATGGGTCTATGAACTATGGCATGACAAGTTCCTAACCTGATGAGTATCAGAAACTATATATAAGCATGCTTGTGTCTCGTTCCTGTGATACCTCTACACTTACGTCCTACTCTATGACAGCCAAGTGCACGCTGATCTCTTCACAATCAAAAGGCAAAGAAGAGTTACAATTCTCTCTTAGGAACCAACTTACTGGGATCCTTTCCTCAATATTAAGCTCTTCTTCCTCAGGAGTTTCCAAAGTTGCTCCAACAGGGATGAAGTTATTTTCTGCACTGGTGAAGAAGTGCCTGGAAACCCCTGAAGAGCTCCTTGCAGAGCCCAAACCCCTGGGTCTACCTTCCCCAGAACTAATGGGAAGATTCAAGCTATCAGGAGAAGTATCACCCAGATTGTCCACACTGACATGGCCAGCAGGAATACTGAAGTTGTGAGACTGATTTTCCAGAGCATCACAGTTCTTCTGGTCATCAGCTGAAGAGTTACCATCGTCTCTAAGGAGCTGAGCAACTCCTTCACTGGAAACAAGAACATCCGGCTCTGAGCTTTGTCCTGTACTGTTATCTTGTGCATCTTTACTGCTAGATCCAGCAACCATGGCAGCTGTAATCTTTTGGATCATGGAGCTCCCTAAACTGTTTTCAGACACTCCTGAAACATTACTTTTGTCTTCTAGAGGCTGCACTGCCTCTGTTGAGTCTGCTGGAAGGGGAACTTCAACCAAGGATGCATTCCTACTGGAAACATTTACTGTGCTGTCAGACTGAGACCTGGTGAGAGGGTAAGCAAGGAGTAGGTTTTTAGTGTGGAAATGCAAACTTTCCAAGGAACCTGTCACTCTGGAGGAAGCAGCAACATCATCTTTGGGGTCTCCATCACTTCGTTGCATTGATAACATCTTGTTTGAAGAACTGGCAATGGCACTGAAGGCTCTCCTGGGAGAAATTCCACCTGGAGAAACTTCACATGAAGTCACCACACCAGATGCTTCCTCTGGCTGGCTCATGTTCCAAGCCCCTACCTTCTCCATGAAACTAAGTGGTGGGAGAGCCTGAATCCTTCCAGTGTGGGGACGTGTCAGTTTTAAGGACTCCAAATGTTCACTGCTTGCTTTCTGAGCACACTGGAGGGACTGTTGCTTCTCATCAGATGCAGGTGTGACAGCAGAGGAGTTCTCTGAAGTTTCTTCATTTAAGCAGGAAGACGCCTGAATATCTGATTTGACCATAAGGGCACCAAGTTCTGCCTTCATTTTTTTCTTCAGAAGTATCCCTGGAGTAGATTGATAGCTTGGATGAGGAAGGTGGACAGAGAATGAGCCATCACTCACAAGGTTAAAGGAAGGGGAAATGCCTGTTACTTTATGGCCCCTTTCTATGGAGAAGTCTGAGATAGTTAATGCACTCCTGCTTCCTCCAGGTTCTGCTTCCACTGAGGCATCCTCACTGAGTGGGGAAGGAGCTCCCGTGTCAGTCACAACCAGTTGTTTAGGTGCACAATCACTGGTGTTTGTCACAGCAGGGATAAACTCCTCTTTCTCAAACCTCACTGCAGGAGATGGCTGCTTCTGCTGATGATCTAGGAAAGCTCCCTGGAGCTCCTCAGTAACAGCCACTAACTTCAAGCTTTCAGAGCCATTTAAATCCATTCCATTTTCCTTTGACATTTCTTTGCCTGCTTCAGAAGCCTTTGCAGAACAAACATGTTGAGCATCTGAATTTTTACAACTGTCTTTCCTCACATTATCAGATAAATTCAGCTCAGGAACCTTCTCCTCTTTGTGCAGCTGCCTCATGCACCCTTCTGACTCACTCTCAGCCCTTTTTACCTCTTCCTTTTGCATCTCTCTCTCATTCTTTTCCGAGTCCTTTGTCAGTGCTGTTTTACAAGAGGAGCTTTCTGAAGATGAGAACTCATTATTCCTCAGTAACCCTTTTTCTTTCTCTGCAAGCTCAGAACCAATAGCTGCTACACTGCTGTCATGGGAGAAATGTTCATCTTTTACAGCGATACTACAGATCTGCTCTGCAAGAGAAGCTGCCATTTGGTGCAGTCTATTTGCCTCTGTTGGCATCACCTTTGAAGTGGAGTTTGCTAAACTGGCACTTGTTTGGGGGATCAGTGCCTCCTCGTGAGTACCAGGTTTAAAGTCTTCATCTGCCTCCTTGCTCACAGGTGCTTGTCCAGAAGAAGAGGTTTCCTGAGCCAAACCACCACCAAGACTGGCATCATGAGGCTCCATGTGTTCAAGTGGAAGAGGATGCTGTGATAGAGGAAAGCAGTCACTGGGTGCATTGGAGGGGGATTCTGTGTCCATCAGTGACTGAGTTTCACGGATGTAGGACGGCTTTAAATGCTCCTCAGACACACCAGAAACATCAGGGACTCCTCTGCAAGAGGCAAGGAAAGCAAGTGAATTTCTGATTATATTTTTCACTTCAACATCCACATTCTCTGTTTTAATACAAGGCAAAAGTCACTGGAATAACTGGGCTTTAGCAACACACACAGAAACACATCTCCTCAACAGGCTGAAATGGGAAGGAACATAAAGAGAGTCCAAACAATATCCAGAAGCTCTGCTGCCATATGAAACAAAGGTTTGAAAATAACATTAGTTTCTACTTAGTACGTTAATACTTTCAACCCATTGAGGACTGAAGTTTAACAGGATGTTTATCAGTTATATAAAACACAGGAGTTCCTCACACAGATAGAAGGTTATGTGTAATTTCTCTTTAATATAAATCACCTCCTTCAGTTTCATTGTATCAATTATTTCTTTGAAGGATATAAAACAAGCCAGGCCTTGGATGCACACAGACTTCTACTATTTCTATGGTGGATTTTGAATTAATGGTTATTTTATATGAAAAGGAACATCAAACACAAACTGGTATTTCTCCATGCAAGTAGATCTTCAGTTCTGGTGGAACCAAGTTTTGATGCACAAAGTGAAGTCACAGTGTATGACTTTAGGAATCAAACCAGCCTCCTGTCACAGCCCAAAGTAAAATAGAAGGAAGCCTAAACATCAATGACACTGGAAATCTGTGTGTTTATATAGATATATTCCTTTCTTCCTCTTTTTAATAAAAGCAGAGGATTTCTTGCACAAAAGGAATCATTTGTCACACCCTGAAGTGAAGGTTTGGATAAAGACTTTTAGTGATAGTGTTATTTCTTTATGCATTCATATTTTATACAAAAAGACGTATTTTCAATTACACATCACACCAATTACTCTGGTATATAGAAACCACAATATTATTGCATATATTTACAGTTGTAAATACAAGTTGTATCTGATTTTTGTGTGCAAGAGGCGATGAAGTTTATACCAGAGTCTAAAGAGATGCCTTTGAGGGTGGAGTTCCTCATTCTCCCGTGTTCATCAGGTGCTTTAGGATGACAAGTTCAGGTTTTCCCTTGTTCAAACTCTCTTGAAGGCAAAAGATGATGAGTTGAAGTCTGACAATGCCTCCTCTCTACACAAAGGGTAAGCCACATTTGTCTTATTTGGGTAACCATAAAACTGTCATTATTTATCAAGTGTAGGAAACTTTATGGCCACTGAGGGAATAAGGTTTGTGTTTAGCATGACTCCAGGTAGCTTTATCCTACCTTAAGGGAATAAAATCCATTTCTGATTGCTGGAGAAGCGTCACACCTGAGCATCTTTGGCCTTGTGTTAAATATGTCAGCCGTGGAAGACAGGGAGAGAACTGAGTGCCCGGAGTATCTGGTCAAAACAAGAAGAGCACAGCAATAAAAGCTTGCCAGGCAATCCCTCTTTAAACTGCTCTGCCAACTAATCCAGCCTTCAAAACCCAAACCCGTGCCAACTGCAGTGAAAATGATGTAATCCCATCACTTAAATCCCCTGCTGAGGCATGTTCCCTCCTAGATGAAATCCAGCTTTCTTACCAAATTCAGGTTCCTTTCTGTTAGTCTCAAACTGGCATCTCCAACTCACTCTCTTAACCTTAAACTTCTCCTTGGGCACATCCCTGTCCTTCTCCACTCACTCCCAGGGGAAATTCCATGCAAACTGCACATCCACAGGGCTTCTACCCCATTCAGTGCTTTAAAAACCAAGAATGCCCAGTAATGCCTTTTCCAGTCTCCATTTTTCCACAGATTCTGATTACAGCAAAAGCTGCATAAGGTTTTTTCTTTAGGGTTTCAAGATGTAAGTAGTAAAACCCAGTCATCACCATTACAATAGTACCACACCAGCAATAAATCTTAGTTTCTATCATATTCCCTTGTTCCTGGAGAGAGCTGGCACTTTCAGTTCACTGTTTACAAAGGGTTTTATACCACAAGAACAAAACCATCTATAAACTGGGATCTGATCACTGTAAATGCCTACATGCACATTTGATGGATACAGAAGACACTTACCTCCAATACTTTATTAATTAAGCTTTTTTTTTAAAGCAAAACAAGTTATTTGTGGTCAAGAACATGACTCTGAGAATCAGAATCTCCATTCATTAGATTTCGAGCATCTCAGGCCAGCCATACTCTGCATCACTTACAGAGCCATAATCACATCAGATAAGACTATTACATATAATAAATCAAGTTTACATCACATCAGCTTTATCCTGAGGCCTTCTACAGCCTCTATTACATCACCTGATGAGCGGTACCCAACCATAAGACAACATATCTGATTCACTTTTAATTTAATATCTCCAACGAACATTTTCATAATGACTTTAGATCACTATGTTGTGAGAGAATAATTATATAGATAGGAATAATCCTACATCACACAGCAAAGCTGGCTCAAAATGTGGATGTCCCCTACTCCCACTTCAGCGGCAGCTAGAGGAGTAATAGTAGGACTGCTAGAGTTTCAGAGATCCCCTTCTACCCTAGCAGCTGTCTCCACCACATGGTCAACTTAACGCATCCTAGAGGAAGCATCTGTAGTACAGATGGCACAAACATGCTACAGCAACTGAAGTGAGGAGTCTTCGTTTATCCAGCACCTCTTTAAAGGCAAACTCTCCCCCCAGTTTACCAAATAAATGCCCTGCACCAGCCACCACTGCACTGTACTTCCATCTTAACCAGCCCAGAACCCCCCCGTGTGCTGGGCTGCACCCCCAGAGCATGAGCAGCAGCTGAAGGATGGGATCCTGCCCCTCTGCTGCGCTCTGGGGAGACCCCCCCTGCAGTCCTGATCCAGCTCTGGGGCAGCAGCACAAGAGGGACGTGGAGCTGTTGGAGCGAGGCCACAGGAGGCCATGGAGATGCTGCGAGGGCTGGAGCAGCTCTGCTCTGGAGCCAGGCTGAGAGAGCTGGGCTGGGGCAGCCTGGACAAGAGAAGGCTCCTGAAGGGGAGACCTGAGAGCAGCTCCAGTGCCTGAAGGGGCTGCAGGAAAGCTGGAGAGGGGCTTGGGACAAGGGATGTAGGGACAGGCCAAGGGGAATGGCTTTAACCTGCCAGAGGGGAGACTGAGATGAGCTCTTAGGCAGAAGCTCTTCCCTGGGAGGGTGCTGAGGCACTGGCACAGGGTGCCCAGAGAAGCTGTGGCTGCCCCATCCCTGGTAGTGTTCAAGGTTGGACCCAGGGGCTTAGGAGCAAGCTGCTCTAGTGGAAGGGGTCCCTGCCCGTGGCAGGGTTTGGAACTGGAGGAGCTTTAAGGTCCCTTCCAACACAAACCAGGCTGGATTTGCAATACCAAACAGGAGGGAAAAGTAACAAAAGCCACCTGCTTTTTTGGAAGGTTACAGAAAAGGAAGTGATATATGTCTAAAGAAATAGGTACAAACAGCTACTCCCTGATAAGAGGAGCCATTCAGACTGATAAGCGTCTGTGTAAAGCTGGATGAATAAATGACTGTAACATACATGGAAGTGTAAACAAAGGAGAGAAAATGGCAGCATCAGCATAGAGGGAGCCAAGAAAATAAGGAACAAGGTCAGAGATGTCTCATAACATGACAGCACCTCAGGGCTCTGTTATACTATGGAGTACAACCAAGATTGGATCTAATGCACGAGACTTAGGTACTTCTGCGATTTCAGTCATAATTTAACTCATGATTTAAAATCAGGGAAGAAGAGACTGATCTAATTCACTGCTATATCCAAGTGTTATTTCATGTGTACTTCGCAGGACCCAAAGGAGGTTGTTTCCAGTGGCTGATACCTAGAACCAGACCAAAGTTGCATGTTAGATTCCTTACTCGCAGCTACTCACTGGGAGCAGACAATTTCCAATGCATTTATTCTGTTCAGTGTGCATTTACTCAGACAATTCTTTGTTGTTTCACTTGAAAATACCAAGGAGATCAATCTTGGATAGAGAATCGCATTAGAGATGCACGAACATGTATTTTAAGAAGCATTAAGCAAGCTGGACCTAAACTATCCTAACTGTGGTAGATGGACTTTATTTCCCTCCCAAATGTGGTTTTACAGTTCAAATGGTATTAGTGAACAAAGGCAACAGCAATGGCTGTTACCAAATCAGACTTTTCATCTCACATCATGCTATACTTTGCGTTTGCAGAACCAGCATCTCACTTGTATTCATGTAATAGAAAGGGAAAAATCAGCCTTCCTCATTTTCAGCTTAACTTCTTCCCTCTGAATGAGAACGTGCTTTAAAGCTACACTAAAATCAGGAGTGATTAAAGGAAAAGCTTTTCCACACAGTAATTCTGGGGGTGCTGCCTTTGTAAATGAAGAAACAAAATAGACTGAGGGAGGGAACTACATGTAATTGAAACCAAGCTGTCAAATGCTATCCAGAATACATCTTGCTAAAGAATTTAATGGATCTACACATATATTGATGTAATAAATGTGCATACACACATTTATATACACACACAATGGAAGTCACACCATTTGGCTGATAAATCAATGGTTTAAAGATATATCAACAAACATATAAGTACCACTCAGCATTTGTGTTAAAAAAGTCAACCCAGCACTGAACCAGATGAAAAATGATTCCTTAAGTAGGATTATAAACAGGAAATCCTCACTGCATTTAGGGAGGCCCTTCAAGGATGCTATTGGCTCTTCCTATGGGAAACTTCAGAAATCCCTGAGGTCTTACAGGGAAAACACCTGGATGAGGCTGATATTTGCCAACCTCACTGCACAGACCATTCACATAGGGCACTCTGGCTCACCTGGAATCACAGCATAGTAGAAGGTGTCCCCGCCTATGGCAGGGGGTTGGAACTGAATGATGATCTTCAGGTCCTTTCCAACCCAAACCAGTTTTGGGATTCTATAAACAGCAAGCTGATCTGGTCGCACTGATTCACACAGTGGGTTTAGCAGAGGGGATGCAGCAGGAGCATGTCTGCAGGACAAGGGAAAGCCAGGCTCTTCCTTGCAGTAGCAGATTTTAGCTCATTAGATAGACTGAGACAAACCTCCACTTCAGGCAGGGTTGCTCCCCTGGCTTCTCCAAAGAACATTCTGGCTTTGCCATGCAAATCTGCCTCAGGCTGACAGTTCCCTGCCTTCCCCAGAGGTTTCCAGTTGGAGAACTGTGGGTGTAATCATTGCCTTGAAGCAGCAGACGAGTGACAAGGCCAGGTAAGAAGAGTGAGGGGAAAAAAGGGAACAGAAAAAAAAAAGGAGGGAAGAGAATAGTCAAGGTTCACTGCTGACACATCCTCAGTGGAAACCCTCTCTTCCAGCTTGCTTCTGCTGCAATGACCTGAAAAAGCATCCTTATGGAATTCAATAGATAGCATTTAACAGGGACTAGAAAAACAAATGTATATATATTTAAAAGAGATAACATACACATTTTTGTATATAGAAAATTCCAGAGGGACCTAGACAGGCTAGAGAGGTGCGACCATGTGAACCTTCTGGAGTTCAACAAGGCCAACAGTAAGGTCCTCCCCCTGGGTCAGGGCAATCCCCTGCACAAACACAGGCTGGGGGAGAATGGATGAAGAAGCCCTGAGGAGACCTTAGAACAGCTCCAGTGCCTAAAGGGGCTGCAGGAAACCTGGAGAGGGGCTTGGGACAAGGGATGTAGGGACAGGCCAAGGGGATGAACAGGCTTGAACCTGCCAGAGGGGAGACTGAGATGAGCTCTTGCACAAAGCTCTTCCCTGTGAGGGTGCTGAGGCGCTGGCACAGGGTGCCCAGAGAAGATGTGGCTGCCCCATCCCTGGCAGTGTTCAAGGCCAGGTTGGACACAGGGGCTTGGAGCAAGCTGCTCTAGTGGAAGGGGTCCCTGCTAGTGGCAGGGGCTTGGAATTGGATGAGTTTTAAGGCCCCTTCCAGCACAAACCAGCCTGGGATTTATCATTCTAAAATATAACTCCAGCCATATCATGTGCTCTGCATCCTCTGGCTTTTTTGAATCTTACAGCACACAAACTCATGTTTCCCATAACTTCTTTTATTCAGGAGGCAGAAAGATCAGGGCTATCATATTCTGGATGCTTTCTATGATTTAGGGGCTCATTTTGCTCAGACACAACCCAGGTTTTGCAGGCAGAGAAGCAGGTGCTGGGTGCTTAAAGCAGCGAGTGACGTCAGTACAACAATCCTCAAGCATCTCGTGTCAAAACAGTGACTCTTCCCGCTGTCGCTCTGAAGGTCAGAAGCTTCCTCACAGTTGAATTCCCTGCACAAGCAAAGCTGGGCATGCTACTTCATCTTCCAGCCTGCTGACAAGTCTGAATGCCAGAGTCAAGCTGCCATTTGTGGCAGATAAAAAAGGAAGGCAAAACAAAAACAAAACCTTCCTGGCTTTGTCAATCTGTTCCACAGTGGAGCAGGAGCGATTCTGATACAACTGTCATTATGATTCTCTCCCCTCCACCCCCCAAATGAAATTCAAAACACTTTCTGAGGAGGAGAAGGAATACATTAGTATTATAGCTTCTGTTTCTCCCTTCCCTCTCACCTTGCCTCCCATAGCTGGAATTTTAAGCGCATCTACAAAAAGCCCGTAGCTATTGGCACACTCTCTAGAGAGCAGCAAATGAAACAGCAGCAGTAGAGAAAGTTCTTACATCTTTGTATCATATTAAAAAGCCTTTTGTTTTCTCTTTAACTCCAGCTGCATTTAAAATGCAAACCTTGACAAATATTAAGGCATTTTTATTGGTTTGGGTTGGAAAAGACCTTAAAGCTCCTCCAGTTCCAATCCCCTGCCACAGGCAGGGACCCCTTCCACTAGAGCAGCTTGCTCCAAGCCCCTGTGTCCAACCTGGCCTTGAACACTGCCAGGGATGGGGCAGCCACAGCTTCTCTGGGCACCCTGTGCCAGCGCCTCAGCACCCTCACAGGGAAGAGCTTCTTCCTTATCTCCAACCTGAACTTCCCCTGTTTCAGTTTAAACCCATCACCCCTTGTCCTATCACTACAGTCCCTGATGAAGAGTCCCTCTTCTACATCCTCGTAGGCCCCTTAAGACACTGGAAGCTGCTCCGAGGTCTCCACACAGCTTCTCTTCTCCAGGCTGAACAGCCCCAATGTTCTCAACCTGTCTCCATATAGGAGGTGCCCCAGCCCCTGATCATCCTCATGGCCTCCTCTGCATTTGCTCCAACAGCTCCATGTCCTTCTTATGTTGGGGACACCAGAACTGCACACAGTGCTGCAAGTGGGGTCTCCCCAGAGCACAGCAGAGGGGCAGGATTCCCTCCCTGAGCTGCTGCTCACTCCCCTTGGGGGTGCAGCCCAGCACACAGAGGGGGTTCTGGGCTCAAGTGCACACTGAAGCCAGGTCATGGGGAGCTTCCCACCACACAGCACCCCCAGTCCTTCTCCTCAGGCTGCTCTGAAACACTCCTCTGCCCAACCTGTAGCTGTGACTGGGATTTCCCAGAGCCAAATTACACAGGATGTGTTTTGTCAGCACCAGTTCTCACTAAAACAAGTCCAATCCAGGTTAGGGACTGATTTAAAAGTAAAATCCTAATCATTTAGCAGTTAAACCAAGGCAGCTTTGACCATACCCAGTTGTAAGCCATGTGCTGCATCTCCAGGAGACTGCCTTCTAGATGCTTCTGCTGAAGCCAACACTCCTTCCTCCAGGGTAGGGAACTCTGTCAGGTCGTTTCTATCACCAGTCAGGCCAAGCTTGGTCTCTGAGGCAGCAGTCAATCGGCTGACATCCACTTCTGCAGGGAGCCGATACCATGACTCAATTCCCTAAGGGCAGGTAGGAGAAAACAGAAGTGCTCAGGCATGAAGAAAGCTTTATAAGACATATTTCCAGAGGATGAAGTTGTGAAACAATGGAATTATTGCTTCTAAATTGTACTTTATTTCATATATAAATACTCAGATTTTAATGCAAAATAATTATCATGCACTATGAACTGCTGAAGTCCAGACTCAGTCCTACACTACTGCCCGAGTTGCCACTATCTGACCGCTAGCCTCCCATCACTTTGAAACTCCAGCTCGAGATCCTGCCACTGCAGATGAATTGTACCAAAACAGAATGAAGTCTCACACTTAGAAAGAGCAATCCTGACCAGGACAAACACTTCAGCAGGATACTGGGGCAATCCAGCTCCAGACACTAACTGGTAAAGATGGTTTGCACTGTACAAATGAGGATTAACAGGCAGAAGAGTTTGATTTGTCTCTAAGTTTCTAGTTACAGAATACTGAGTTCACACAAACAATGCTCAAGAATCCAAGCCAATTGTTTGCTATATTTAATTAAAGACTTCCAGTTCATGATCAAATGGAAAGGAGCATCTTTGGTTCGCATTATTCATTAAAGAATTAGCATTGGGATCACTGGGAAGTAATTAAACCAGCTAAACTTTAATTACAGAAGAGGCACAGACCAGCCTTCAGTGCAGAGAATTGAGAAGATCAATAAAACAACCCATTATTATCAGTATCTATAATTATATGTTAATATAAGCAAGAAAGTGTCCCAGTGAGATGCCAGTAGTACAGCACTATCATTACTTAGTAGCTGCAAGCTCTCCTACCTTTTAAAGCATTACTAAGTTACAAGAAGTTACTCTTCACATTAGAAACTTGATATGAACAATGTTTTGCACAAGATTATTCTCATCATTTTGTCTCCTGGGTTCAGCAGTAGCAGTCATTCTTCTCCTTTTTAGTAGCTGGTGCAGCGCTGTGGTTTTGACTTTCAGCCTGGGAACAGTGCTGATAACACTGATGTTTTTAGTTGCTGCTCAGTAATGTTTAGTCTGACCAAGGAATTAGTGACTCTAAGGCTCTGCCAGGGAAGAGGGGAAGCTGGGAGGAAGCAGAGACAGGACACCTGACCCAAACTGACCAAAGAGGTATTCCATACCACAGCACGTCATGCCCAGGATGTAGAACTGGAGGCAGTTACCCAGAAGGGCTAGGTCATTGCTTGGTTGGGCTGGGTATCGGTCGGTGGGTGGTGAGCGGTTGTATTCTCTTCCCTTATTTCCCTTATCATTATTGGTGGTAGCAGTAGTGATTTGTGTTACACCTTAGTTACTGGACTGTTCTTATCTCAACCCATGGGAGTCACATCCTTTCGATTCTCCTCCCCATCCCTCCAGGAGCAGGGTGGGGGGGAAAGGGGGGAATGAGCTGCATGGCTGACTGGGCTTAAACCACAACAATTTGGAAATACAAGTTTTTAATCAATTCAGTTGTTTCAAAACAATAGCGATGTTATGCAATTCTCAGAGTAATCAAATACTTGGCAGCACATCCAGCAGACAGAAGTGTGACTACAGTTGGACTTGATGATCTTAAAGGTCTTTGCAATCTAGTGGATTCTGTGATTCTGTGACTGTACCCTGATGTGAGTACAGTCTTCCTTAATCACACACTGAACACGTCATCAAAACTAAGGTCTAAAAGGAGTCAGATCTCACACAGACTAGAGCATGGCTCTGTGCTAACATCCAAATTGGGGGCTGGAGCTGGATGATCTTAAGGTCCTTTCCAACCCAAACCATTCTGTGATTCTATTTTGAAGTAGACAGATCTGACAACTTAAGAGGCAGTAGCAGAACCAGGGTTACAGCAAATTACAAATGGAAACCAGCTCAAAGATAGTGTTGTGATGAAAATACTACACTAGGCTTATATTAGTGTATATTCTAGGTTTATAGCCTGAAAACAGAAAAATAATAAAAAACAATCATTATACTACTAGGGATTCTGTGATCCTATGAAAACTGAATGGATTACAGAATCTCCTCTGTCAGTTTAAAGCCATTTCCCCTTGGCCTGTCCCTACAGGCCCTTGTCCCAAGCCCCTCTCCAGCTTTCCTGCAGCCCCTTCAGGCACTGGAGCTGTTCTCAGGTCTCCCCTTCAGGAGCCTTCTCTTGTCCAGGCTGCCCCAGCCCAGCTCTCTCAGCCTGGCTCCAGAGCAGAGCTGCTCCAGCCCTCGCAGCATCTCCATGGCCTCCTCTGGCCTTGCTCCAACAGCTCCACATCCCTCTTGTGCTGCTGCCCCAGAGCTGGATCAGGACTGCAGGGGGGGTCTCCCCAGAGCACAGCAGAGGGGCAGGATCCCCTCCCTGAGCTGCTGCTCTCGCTCCAGATGTGATCCAAGTGCTGCAAAGCTTTTTGACAACTGGATTGATGACTTGCCAGAGTTCACAACAATCTTTCTCTGCGGTTCCAAGATGCAGAACCACACACCTCTACAGGGCAAGGACAGTAGAGGCCTAAATTACATAGATAAAGCACTTCATATTATTTTCCATCTTTCAATCACAAGCAAAAAGGAAGCACAATGCAAATACCCATTTAATGGCTGTTTCCCGACGTATTGCTTCTCCAAGGGACATCCCACTGGTAGCTGATACCTGGGTTTCACTACTGCTGTGGCTTAAGGCTTCCTCCTCCCAGCCATGATGTGGTGGAGTTGTTGCAATGGGCTAAAAGAAACAACATGTGGGTTTAAAACCAATTTTTTAGTATTTCAATATATTCATATATTAAATCAAGGGCAAGGAAGCATATAAAGTAATCAAGGCATCCTCAGGGCTGAAAGTGGGACATCTACCTCAACGTGTGACTTGAATCCCATCCAGAGTCCCACAGCTTCACTAAAACAGGGATGTTCTTTGCCACTATAGATCCCAAAATCCAGCTTTCTGGAATCATGTTTTTCTGCACATTAGCCAATTATTTCTGAGGGCCAGAAGCGTATTTCTTGTTCCCAACCCATACAGGTGCAGTGCAAAGTAAATCACAACATATCAAAGAGACCCATCACCTTGATGCAAGTCTGGTTCTGCCATTTGTCCTGATGATTTATTAACAGTGGTTGTTAAACCAGGGGGGTTAACAGCAAACTTATTTATTACATTAAAATCAAAAGGGGTTTACTTCTATCTATGTTTTAAAATGAATTTTAAAAGCCATCTTATGTAACTACCTTAGAGCAAGTCTAGGTTGGTTTCTATATTATAATTCGGCAATACCTGCCATCCTTTGAGAGCAGGAATTGAAGCTGCATTGCACTGCTGCCTAGAAAGGCAGCTGGAACATTTTCCTCCCCACACAGTAACAGAGGAAGCTGCTCTGAAGTGGGAATGGAATTTCTCTTCTAGAATATCCCATGCCTGAGGTCTCTGTAACAGCTTTCCACAGACAAGACAAAGCCAGCTCCAAACACAATGGGACAGAACTGCAAAAAGAGACATTTTTGGAACACCAAGATTTAGCCCAAACAAAAATGTTCCAGAAAAGGAAGTACTGGCTTAAAAACAGCCCCTAGAGACTGGCACAGGAGAACATCAGGTAACGTTATTAAGGCAGCGATTTAACATGAAGCCTCAACCAGGAGAGGGATTTGTGGCTCCCCCCATCTCTAAAGCCCTCCCTTGTCCTCCTCCTATTCCTCATGGCAACTCCCATTCCAGTTTGATTTATTAATAGTAATTTTTCTAAAGCCTCAGAGGTAGCTTTTAGTGCCCAGGGTAGGGAAAGGTGGGATCCAAAGAACAACGCAGCAAGAGCAAGCAGGGCAGGGGGAAGCTCCCCAACATCTACTCCTGTACCATGAGTTGTGCATCTACCATCTGGTGGTATTTGCCTGCTGAGAGAGTTACAGTGACCCAGAAGGTGATGAGTTATGTGTGAAGGGCAGAGGAGGGCACAGACTGAGAAAAGGAGAGGGTCAGAGAGAAAGCAGCGGTTACTTCCTAGAAGCTTGACTTCCATGTGAATAATCCCAGACTGGTTTGGGTTGGAAGGGACCTTAAATCTCATCCAACTCCAACCCCTGCCACGGGCAGGGACCCCTTCCACTGGAGCAGCTTGCTCCAAGCCCCTGTGTCCAACCTGGCCTTGAACACTGCCAGGGATGGGGCAGCCACAGCTTCTCTGGGCACCCTGTGCCAGCGCCTCAGCACCCTCACAGGGAAGAGCTTCTGCCTCAGAGCTCATCTCAGTCTCCCCTCGGGCAGGTTCAAGCCATTCCCCTTGGCCTGTCCCTACAGGCCCTTGTCCCAAGCCCCTCTCCAGCTTTCCTGCAGCCCCTTCAGGCACTGGAGCTGCTCTCAGGTCTCCCCTTCAGGAGCCTTCTCTTGTCCAGGCTGCCCCAGCCCAGCTCTCTCAGCCTGGCTCCAGAGCAGAGCTGCTCCAGCCCTCGCAGCATCTCCATGGCCTCCTCTGGCCTCGCTCCAACAGCTCCACGTCCCTCTTGTGCTGCTGCCCCAGAGCTGGATCAGGGCTGCAGGGGGATCTCCCCTTAGCACAGCAGAGGGGCAGGATCCCCTCCCTTGATTGCTGCTCACCCAAACTTCCAGAATTTCAGTACCATTTCCTACCTTAAACCCTTCCACCAAACAGCCTCACAGAAACAGACACACAACAGAACTGTTCACACAGGTCAATGTTGAGTAGATTACTTGGAATTCATGAATATTTTTGCCCAAGTTGAGAAGAGCTGTAGCACTCAAAAGGAAAACATTTATTACTGATGATGTGCAAATCACACTGGTGAAACTGGGGCTCAACCAGGCAGAAACTACTCATCTAAATTAATTCCCTGCACAAAATAAGTTTGTTTGGGCTTTGTAGAGGGACTGAACATAATAATGGCAGCCTCTATGCATATATTCAATCCCTCTTGCATTCCCCTGGCTCCTGTTGTTCATACTAATCAACTAAAAGAAGGAGCACTAAAGTATGTGTGACAATAGCTCAAAAGGTAAAAGCATTCCCGGTAGCGGTTTGGTAATTTAATTAAGGCCTGTTATAGAATATTTGGGTTTACAATGTGCATCCTCAGAAAAGGGCAATTTTATTAATCCAGCTGGAAATGAACAGTTGGGTAAAGGACTGGGTGTGATTTGAAAAGCAATTCCAAAACCAGGTACTGATTGTATTTAGATACACTGAGCAGAGCTGATGGAGTGGGTGGTGTAGAGGGTATCAGAAGGGATGAGTAATGACAGCATTCAAGATGCATACAATGAACAAAACACTACACAAGCCAACTGTGCATGTTATGTGCAGGTTACTCTTCAGTCTCCCCTTTTTATAATGACCTTCTTCAGCCTGTGGCGAGCTATTTCTCTCCAAAGCATTTAATTACTCATGTACCTGTCAACCACTTCAGTTATAATCCCTTTTCTGTGCTGCACCACTGGCATCGCAGCATTCCCTCACTCTATCCACCAGCATGGAGAGGAAGCACATGGCATGAAGAGCATTCCTCAGTTCCCAAAGCCTCCTGATTAACCTGCTTTCAGAGAGAAATTGGCAGCCTAAAAAAAATATGACCGAGATAATAATGTCATTAAACCTTAAAGCCAAACTTTGCATTTGAGCTTTCTTCCATACAGTTTCAATGCACCTGGTATGGCACGTTCAAATAACATGAAAAATATATTATCTGAACAGATTTGTTCTACCTGTAGCTTCATATCTTTTACCAAAATCTTTGATGATAGAATGAATAAGAAAAGCACAATTCACTCTCAAATGGAGTCAGAAAGAAAATTCCTTGGAGGGTTCCCCAAGTCTTAGGCAAATGGGGCTAAAATGAGAGCACAGAAGGATAAAGTACAAGTGAGCTCCACACTGGGGGAGTCTTTGTTCCAGAAGTACTTTCCCCTTCCCAACACTCCCTGAACACTCAGTTTTTAAACTCCGTTCATAGAATCATAGAATAGTTTGGGTTGGAAAGGACCTTAAGATCATCCAGTTCCAAGCCCTCTGCCATGGGCAGGGACACCTCACAGTGAATCTCCCATTCGAATTTCAAATAGGTTTGACAAGACTGATTTGGGGGAACAGAGCCAGAAGTGTACCATATTCGGAATCATCCAGAAGGGATTCTAATGAGTTAGGATGCAATTACTACAAATAGCAATATTCTGGAAGATTCAGAGTAGTTATATCCAGTGCTTCCAAAGGCTCAGATACTCAGTTCCCCAAAAGAGCAGGAAGGAACTGAAGTAGTACTACTGTTGCTGAGATCATTCAAGTAGCACCTTCCATGCAAAGGCCCCAAGATGTTTTATCAGCACTGATTCACACCATGACTTTAGAGTGTGCCTGATAAATATTTATCTCCCTGTTGTACACAAAGTTCCCTTAGTGTACAACAACACAGCAAATCAGCAGCACAGCTCATCCGCTGAGTATCTTATCAGCCCATAGTGGCACGTGTCTTACTTGATGCTCTAAAATTTCATCTGTCTTAGCCTGCAAGTTGTGAGAGAACGTCAAAAAGAACAACGACAGCATCACGAGCCAAGGAGATTAAAGCATGAATGAGAACATGAACTAAGATAACAGAACGGTTTGCGTTGGAAGGGAACTTAAAGCCCACCCAGATCCAACCCCCTGCCACGGGCAGGGACCCCTTCCACTAGAGCAGCTTGCTCCAAGCCCCTGTGTCCAACCTGTCCTTGAACCCTGCCAGGGATGGGGCAGCCACAGCTTCTCTGGGCACTCAGCATCCTCACAGGGAAGAGCTTCTGCCTAACAGCTCCCCTCTAACAGGTTAAAGCCATTCCCTTTGGCCTATCCCTACAGACCCCTATCAAAAGGGAGACGGAGAACCACTTCCCTGTGAGGGTGGTGAGGTGCTGGCACAGCTTGAGCTACCCCAGTAACAAGAGGACCTTAAGGAAAGATGATCGGCTCCTGAAGTCAAATACTTCCCACACAAGTCAGATTCTCCTGCTACCACCCGAGTTTGGTTTGCGTTTTCACATAACCAGTGCCCCAGAAGCAGCAGTGCTTCAGGCCCACACACTCCTCAGCAGCATCTTCTCCCGCTTCCTCATGGATTTAGCATTGCTCTTTAAAGGAGCCTGCTACACATTAACCAAACACCCGAGAGAACCAAGCCACTGGGGCCTGGTGGGTTCGCAGTGGAAGGAAGCAGACAAACAGCAGCACGTTCTGCTTCGTTATTTCATGTTTAATCCCCATAGCAAAGAGCAGTATTAAGGAATCAGCATAATGGAAGAAATCTACTACATATTAGGACTGTGTGCTCCATGGTACATAAAGCAGTTGCAAGCAACATGTTAGGGTTTAGTAAATTAGTATAATCATCTCTGAGGGCTTCCATGTAATTAAACTCAAATGAAGAACATTTACAAGGTTTTTCTTCCTGAGATCCAATACATCAAAGATAGATTTTGCTGCTAAATCCATAATGAGAGGAAAAGACAAAAATAAAGCTGAACAACTACAACCACCCCCACACAACACAGTGCCATTAACTTAAATGGTAGCAACAGCAATTCCTGTTTGGTATTAACTGATGCTACATTTCATAGAACGAAATAGGAATGCTTCTCAGGTTTGAAACGTGAGTTGCCAGACTCAGCATTCCTTACTGTGTTCTGACCCATGCAGCAATGGAAATATCACACTAAAAATATCACATAAGGAAAACCAGCACAAC